GGAGGCTGAGAACAATGTTCATTTTTGTTGGAAATTTCAGACGGCACATAGAAGTCTTTGCATCTGAACTTTTAATGGTTACTGTTTTATCGAAGAGATAAAATTTATTAAAGGTTAGAACTGCAGAGTGCAAGGATTGTTTTTTGAATTGCCTATTGAAAATCATCAGCAAAAATGTATTTGTCTTTAAATGATTAGTTAAAAACATGCAGATTAATGAGTGAATCATTTATACACGCACACACAGTCAGCCATTTACGTATTGTTTCATTTAAGCATTTAAATTGATACTTTTCAGTGCTTAATTTTCTATCTGTTTTCTAACCTTATTGCAGCAAATAATCTGATATGATCTCCTCTCAAAACAGGCTTCCTAGAAGCAAACCAGAACTTGCCAAGCCTGGCACAGATCTGGGACGAGGACGAACCAAACTGCCGCGTCGTCGAGTGACAGATTTTGCTTTAGCCTACTCAGTTCAGCGCCTCTATCAGTGCAGCTCTGAGGACAGCAGCTCTGAGCTCTCCATTTCTTCATACAGCAGTTCCTCCAGCCGAGAGACCACCAGCGATGGACCCAAACCCTGTCCACCTCCATACGGCTACCATCGCACTCTTCCGGCTAAAGCAAACAACGCTAACAACAACACACTCAGCGCCAACAACACAGTCAAAAACAACAACAACAACCCACCTCGCCTCCTGCCTGGCACCAATCGAGTAAAGATCAACAACGGCACGCCACTGCAGGCAGACATGGCAAAACTGCAGCTTGGACCAACTTCACAATCTGCAACCTTAAATGTTAATAATAAACCCCAACAAGCGGAGGTCACATCTCCCAAACGGATGCTCAAGCCTCCACCGCCATACACAAAAGTGGTTCGCACGACCTCTCTTAGAGAATACCCCAATCATCCCAGCCGTGTGCTTCCACGAGATGTGGTGTCCGGAGAGCTTAAAACCTGGCACCAGAAAAACAACGCTGTGGTGCCAAAAACCCGTTCACTTGAACGCCAAGGGTCAATGAGGATCAAGCGCCCGGAGCCACCACCATACCACCAGATTCCTTCTCACAAACAGGTAAAGACACCGTACCTATTTGCGACATAAATTTAAGTCTTTAGCTAATTTAAAAAAAAAGATAGAAATTTCAACTTTTTCCCATAGTGCTTCCCAACCCTGTTCCTGGAGGAACACCAACAGTACACATTCTGGATGTCTCCCTTATCTGACCCATTAACCTCAGGTTTTGGAGTCTTATATTATGTTCTGATGGGTTTATTCAGGTGTGTTTGATTAGGAAGAGGTTGAAAATGTGTACTGTTGGTGTGCCTTCAGGAACAGGGTTGGGAAACACTGCTTTATACAATGTAGATCAGGGGTGACCAACCCTGTTCCTGGAGATCGACCTTCCTGCAGATTTCCTATGCAACCCATATTAAACACACCTGCCTGTAATTATGAAGTGCTGTTCAGGTCCTAATTAATTGATTCAGGTGTGTTTGATCAGGGTTTGAGCTGAACTCTTTAGGAAGGTCGATCTCCAGGAACAGGGTTGAGCACTTCTGATGTAGATTATATATACAAGGACGAACTGGGAAAGGATTAAGAATCAGATCACAATCTTTCATTTTGAGGAACCTATTCAACATATCAGCAAGGTCGGAGAATACTAGAAGAATGTTGGTTTAGTTCTAGTTTGATTAAAAGTGATTCCGTTTTTTTCAATACGAATGTCACTGTTAGCAAACGGTCCACTGAAAGACAGGCACTTGATCCTCCCAGACTTCCTATTTTGTTCTAAACCGATTATATCGACTGATAACATTTTGCAAGACTCCATGAATATTAACAAAAAATGAGATAATTACCTAGAAATAGTAGTGAAATTGCAATGCATTATTCATACGTTAAATGCATACACATAAAATAGTGCAAAAACATGCTAACATACGTTTTGGCATCAACACACACAATACAGCTGCAAAACCTCAGTGAATACTCTCAGCATCAGAGCTCCACGTCTCACTCTCCTCACTGCGCATGATGGACTGTATTAGAGCATACAACATGCAGAGAATTACGCATAGATGACTCTGCAGTTACCAATAGAGCCTTTTCACATTTTCAGGTTTCTCAGCAGCAAAAGGCCTCATAGTTGGGTAAACTTGTTAAGAATTGGAGTGAATGGGAGAGTACCACATATCATTTTTTTACAACACAATTTGCTCAAACAACAACAACAACTCTATGTTACTGTAATCAATGTGTGAGGCTGATAATGGCAGCCAGAAGAGAGAACAATGTCAAATTTATTGTCCCGCTCATAGACTCTGCATTAGGAACACCTCCCATCTAGTGTTTCTTTTTTGGTAATTTGATTTTAAAATGATTTAGTATAAAGTATAGCTTTATAAATTTACCTATGTTTATTTTAACCTAAATATTGAAAATGTTCAAGGATTTGAGAAGCTAAAGCCGTTAAACTAGTCATATTTAACAATACCATCCTGTGAAAAGAGTCCATGCTGTCATGTGAAGAATGCTGATAACGGAGTGTGGATCCACATGCAGTTTAATACAAGAATGGTCAGGCAGGCAATGACAGGGTCAAAGAGGTACATGCAGAGCAATCCAATGTCGTGGTCAAAGAACAGGCGAATAGTCGGTCAAAACACGGCTGGAAAACGCATTGTAATGTCAAAAACCGTATAGGCTCAGAAAATATCATGATGCTGTGCCACATCCATATGTTCTCACACCCCTATTATATATCAATTATAAATGTATTATATGAAAACAATGGTAAACAAAATGAGACTTAGAATCTAAATATTACTTTGCTGGTGTCTTGATACTTTAGATCATAGGACTCAAACTCAACTTCTGAAGTGCCGCAGCTCTGCAGTTTTGCTGCAACCCTAATCAAACACAGCTGAAGCAAATAATTAAGGTGTTCAAGACTCTTTTGAACACATGGATTATTTGCATCAGCTGTGTTTGATTAGGGTTGCCGCAAAACTGCAGAGCTGCGGCACTTCAGGAATCGAGTTTGAGACCTATGCTTTAGATAAAAGTGTCTTCCAAATGAATAAAAGTTATATTTGAAAAATAAGTATAAAAGTAAGTTAAACATGACAAATATTGTTGTGTTTCTTCGCAGGTTTCTCAGAAAGTGATTCTGCAAAGGGCTTCTGATGGGACGCCGCTGCAGTGGTACGAGGAGGAAGACTCTGAGATTGTGAGTCAGGTGTAAACCAGAAAAAAGAAACAAGTGAACTACACCTTTTGTATTTTTATTTATTGAGCCAATGGACTCGCCAGTGTAGTCTGATAGTGAAAATTACGTTAATTCTCACCGAGATGTTTTCGACCGCGTTGGAGCTGAGCCAGTGAAATTTACTCCTCAGTTCCATTTATGCCTAAATTTGTGATTACATGTCAAGTCTAAGACTTCCTCGTACGGCATCATGCCAGATATTTAAGATGAATGTATAAATAACTGTAACTTTATTGATGTCAGAAGAGCGTGTCCCACTTTTCCAAATGACCGATTGATGCCCTCGTGAAAATGACATCATTTCATAAATATATTTGTGTCTGGTACACGATTCTTCATAAAGTATTATGTAATGTCTTTGTTTCCCCATTATTTTATTTAATTTAACACATTATGAATTAATATATTATTTGTCCATATTATGTTTTATTTGTGAATTAATACTGCCCCTTTGCTAACACACTTTTTTAAATTAGTGAAATGTTCTGCTACTGTATTACGCATTGTAAGAATAATCCATCTGTGAGTCTGATATGCAGATATTTTGCTTCATGTTTGTACACTAATTATGGATAAAATTTATATTATTTATATCACACTTTAATAAACGATATCACAGATCCTCAACAGTATGCTGTGTGTATTTTTGTTAGTCACATTTTCAAATATATCACATTTACATTAAATAAACCAGAAACCGGTGTATACATTGAGATTTCAGATGCCAATACCAAAACGTACTGAACTTTTTGTTTGTACACAAAAATTTCAGGCTACTCTGTGTAGGTTTAGTAATTTAAGGTTAAATTACATAAACATTAACCTTATATGAAACGTAAACATTACATTACATAAACATAGGAAGCAGAAAAAAATGCTCCTTTTTTAGATGAAATGTTCAGATGGCACTTTTTTCCATCTGAAATTTTTATTTATATTAGTGCAAGATGTGTATTATGTGACAACTTTCTAATGACATATTGGCTGTGTTCACACTGCAAGGCTTAGTGCTCATATCAGATTTTTTGCAGATCTTTTTTACGCAACTGTTCACATTGTTGTTATAAATGTGGCCAATATCAGATTTATAGTGTGAACAGATTCTAAACTGACCCGCATGACCAAAAGTAAAACCACGCACAGCACATAAATGTGTATAGTGTATAAAGTGAATAAGGTTTTGCTGGTTCTAATGTGCATTTTAGTGTTTGAAACCTAAAAGAAGTTTTTTTGTGTGTGATCGAAAACCCTAATAATTTGTCATTTGTGACAAGTGCGGGGCTTAATAAGTTAATAAGCAGCCGCAGAATGAATTGTTAAGGCAGGCCTCACGCCTGGTTCATTAATGATGAAAATTATACTGCTTGCAAAGTCTGATAACCTAGCCTACTGCCTGATGTGTTATTCTATGCCGCTGAGGAGTAGGGGGTGTGTGCAGCACGAACCAGTACAGAATAATGACGTGTGTCGATCAAAAATTATGTAAAGTTCACATGAATTCCTACATAACCGTTCACACTGCGGTCAGATTGCTAAACATCAGATCTGTGTCTGATTTAATACCACATATGAAAGTGGCACAAATCGGAATTGAATACTATATTGAAAATCATAAACAGAAAAGCTGTGTATATGGTGGACAACTATCAAGCATATTAATATGCACAGTTACACAATAATACAATGTACTTACTTGATAAAACTGATAGAAGAACATATATTTGCCAACACTTTTTAATGGTATAAGATGGTTAGTTAATTTTAGTTAATAGATTACACTTTTAATAAATCATTTGCAATGGTTTTGTACAAGTTTATACAGTTTCCAAACAGTGAATCGTTTTCTGAAACAGTTTAGTTGTTTTAAAGCTATGAAAAGCTTTGTTTTTCCCCATTACTAATATATAACAGTTTATTTAAAACTTAATAAAAATCACTGTAATTGTACAGATTAATCTCCTTTTTATGTTTAAGTGTTTACATCCATAAGACCGGTGTTTGTAGCAACCACACAAAAATGGCTAAAACTATGATTGAGAAAAGAACGGTGAGGTAGATGACCAGGATTATCCAGCGGCAGTGATACATCCACTGCATAAGGGGGCGCTGTCTGCAGGTGGAGGCACGAGAGTGGTTTAGTCAGTACAGAAAAAAAAAAATGGATTAATAAGGGCTGTATCCAAAATCACCCCATACCCTCATTCACTATTGCCCACATTAGTCCACTGATACAATCCATTTAAAGGAGACCTATTATGCCCCTTTTTACAAGATGTAAAATAAGACTCTAATGTCCCTAGAGTGTGTATGGGAAGTTTCAACTCAAAATACCACACACACATAATGTTTTATAACTCTTTCAGGGTACATATAGATGTTTGTTTCGGAACCGTTTGCCCCTTTAGCTCAGTTCATTTAGCAAATCCAGTAATCGCGCTCTGATTTGTGCCAAAGCAACTGGTCCAAGACCACCTGAATGAGGTGGTATTTTTTCCATATTTTTAGTCTTTAAATATTTTGTTCTAGGCCAGATTGCTTTGTTTATTTCTGCACTGACACCACGAAAAAAAGATCAACATTGATCTGCTTTATGATCTGACTGCAGTCTCAGTTCATCTGACATTTATCTCTATAATTTAAGCCTACAATGCATAGTTTTAGCCAACATTTTGTTTAATGAAAAAAGTTATTAAATGTCTTTTAAAATAACTAATTAAATGTTACAAAAAAAGACGGCCGATAGACCGATTGATTTAATAGATTTGTACAACCTTTGAAGACTTAAATAAGGCTATGTATGAGAAAGTCTTAACTTTACTTCTATAAATATATATTTATATTCGGTGACTGTCTGTGGGTTTCACCATTTAATATTAAAGCACACCTTTTCTCTTATATTGTCTCATTTCTCATCATCATAGATTAAAATAACAACGTGTGAAAGCAAACCAATAACAAAAATAAACATTGTAACAATCTTAATCAATTGTTTTGTTCCTAAACAGGGATCTACAGGTGTGAAAGTCTTTGATCCAAATTGTGGGGTTTCAGGGTGCTTTCACATCTGTAGTTCGCTTCATTTGGTCCGGACCAAGGGCAAGAAATTATACATTGTAGCATTTTCTGCCATGTTTGGGTAATTTTTTTTACACACTGCTGGCTTTGATCCGAACCAGACGAAATGAACCAAAATGCCCTCATCTGACAAAATCCACATCTCTTATTGGCCAGATGTTGTTGAACATATTTACTATACTGCTTATCGATTGGTCAGAATTCACATGCAGGAAAATGCCAATGGAACTCCCGCAAGTAAACAAACAGGCAGATACAAAATGCATCGCACGTCACCTTAGGAGGAGGCGTGAATTAATTTTGCTAAACTGCGACATGGTCATGTAGCGGAAATATTACCAACGATCCATCAGGTAATGTTTTCCCCTGCCTCTCTTTACTTTGTCGGTAAAGCGCTATCAACAAATACTTTTCCTCCACATCCAATAATGCACAGCGCATCGGCTTACGGCAGATACTTTTTGCAGGTGGGTTTTTAGTTCGGATCATATTGTCAGCACAAATGAACCACTTCAAGTTTCGTTTGAAAGGGCGAATGCAGCAATCGTACTCGAGTGCACACCAAAAGCGGATCAAAAAAGCGTACCGAGACCTGCTTGAAGAGGCGGTCTCAGTACACTTTTTTGGTCCGCTTTTGATGCGCACTCGAGTACGATTGCTGCATTCACACCTGCCCAAACGAACCGCACCAAGAGGGAAAACAAACTCTAGTGCGATTCAAGCAAACTAAGTAGGGCAGGTGTGAATGCACCCTTAGTGACTGTCACTTTAAATTCAAATGAGGTTGTGCTCTTTAAAAAGGGCGAAGCAACAAATGCCTATGTGTCAGCATAGTGGCAGATTTAAAAAAAAGACTAATGTCCTATGCTAATGAGGGGGAGATTGTCATGGGCGGGGCTTTCCCCTCTGATAACAGGTACAAAAAAAGAATGTCAATTTAAAGTGTTTCTGCAAACTGTTTTTTATTAAGTGTGATTATAAAAAATAAAGCAAAAAAATTACGAATTGAAGCTGGTTATAGTCATAAACTGCTGTCACTCAACTGTATATAAACCCCTTATAAAACAGATTTTTGCATGTTCTTTTTTAATGAGTGATTGAAAACAATTGAGTAAATTCGAGCACTGAGGACACTAGAAGAGATGCCCTCAGACGGATTTGATTTTTTAACTTATTTTTCTGAGGCAGTTATAGATGTTTAACACTTAGTAAGCTGTCTCTTATTAATGAAACTAAATATTTCGATTTCTGTCATGTATACAAATGTATGTTTAACGTTTAATAATTATATTTTGGCGCAATAGGCCAGTGGTTAGCATGCTGATATATAGTGTAACAGCGATTCTGGTGTCCCAAGTTCAAATCCCAACTCATAGCCCTTTTCTGATCCTGTCCCACTTCACGTCACTCTATTTTCCTGTCAAATGATGACAACAAAGTGTAAAAAAAAAATAACTATAATAAATAAGTAATCATTATTTAGCTAGTTTAGGATTCTGCTGTACATTCTCTCACAGTACATTATGTGTATTCTTTAGCCATTGAGTGTAGATCGGTTCTCATTATTGAGGTGAATCGTGGAATTGATTGATAAGAGCACTTCATAAAGTCCATTATGGTTTCTGACACCACTACAAATGGCTGCTCCCTCAAACAGTTCACTATTTAAACCTGCAGGGGGCGATTTCAGATACAGCCATGTGCTAATACATAAAAGTGTAACTCACAGGCTGATGACACATCTATCACAGTCTCGGAAGTAGTGCTCAGATCTCTTCAGCCACACGTTACTGCTTTCCAGCGCAGACTTCCTCCTCAACCTCTGATGAGAACTTGTGTTTCTGTCAATTTAATTATTATTAAATAGTTAATATACCTCTATTTGTATTTGTATTAAAAGTGTATGGTTTATTTATATTTGTAATGTCAGTTTAAATTTGTAGTTATTTATTATTTTATTATAAAGCTTTCAGACAATTTTTAAAGTGACCTACTTTTTTACATTGACAGGGTCCGGCTCAGGTCTGGAGTGAATTTCAGAAATATTCACCATGGTAGTTTGCGAGGGACTTTCCTCTCGAGGTAGTACTTGTCTAAAAATTGTGAGACATAATCTGTAGTAAATCTTCATGCAGTTGGAAGTGTGGTCATAAAAAACCAGGCTGTGCAATTTAAACAAAGCAAAATGGGCTATATGCATGGCAAGTGTCACCGATAAACCTCTGGTGAAAGTTTAAAGTGACTTTTTTCAATTTCATAAGATTACTTTTACAGCATCGACAACGTAATTTAATTCAAAGATAGTCAGTTATATAGGCCTAAGCATTTATTTAGTTGTTTGAGTGTAATGACAAGTGAGAAGAAAGGCCATTTAAATGCAAGCGCCATCAGGAGAAGCAGACATATCCACTGAAAACACTGTGGTAAAATACATTTCCATAATTTAAAGATGGCGCAAATCACTGGAATTGAATGCAGATCTTCTCTGACTTTTCCACTCTGAGAGCCGCTTTATATTATGTCTTACTCAGGCAGTGAATATTGTTGCTTTAAAAAAAAATTTTTTTTTTATCAAACTTTAACTAAGTGAGTTTGTAATGACATGACAGTTGATTCTGTGGGTCTGATTCTGTGAGTTTGGAATCTCCAGAGCTGGCTTACTCCAAATAAAAGTCCCTATGGATATAGCCCATTGGTAGTAAAGGTGCAATGTGTGCCAAAAATATATATATTCATACCATGACACCACCTAATAACACAGAATCAGTTTTTTCCACTAACATTTAGCCAATAAGTTTATGATTCTGAGGTAAACTCTATAAATATAATCAAATTACCTCCTGTCCATTAGAAGGCAGTCGTCTGTATTGTCTGGTTTCTGTGGGTTTGATTCTCTCCGCTGACTGCTCTCACTGGTCACTAAAGATAATAAAGTTTCTGACTCCTTCACTTGTTGTCTCTGCAAATAAAAGAAAAAGAGAAATACACATTCAGTTACACTTTGATGTGGTGAACAAATGACTGTGAAATTGAATGGACGAGACTCATCGTGCACCTTTGAGATGACATTTGTACTGATTCGCCGCCGTAACTGTGTCTGAGAATGAGACTGAAAACAAAATATTAAAACATCATCACTCTTGACAAAAACAATTAAACAACAAAACATTTTCAGGAACAAATCACTAACCTTCTGTAAGTCTTTTTCAGGTTTTACAATAGCATCCGTTTCCTCTGCAATGAGACATAATTCTGTTAAAATGCTGATGTCTCATAACTTTATAACTGAATGGGTTTAATCCTACCCTTCTCCTCATGGAAAAATCGCTCTCTATTGCTTTTCTCCATCTGTTTCTTCATCTCCTCCAATTCGAAACTGTTCTTCTCGTGACGGCGGTTCAGGTTCTCCACATGAGCCACCATCAGTTCCACAGCACGACTCACTTTAACCTCCTGCATACATAAATTACAAGTACATTTATTAAACTACCAACTTTGTGAGAGATACAATCTTATTCTAATATCTAACAGTATGGACAAAGAGCATTGATAGACCCAGGTGGTCTAGTTAAATACTGCTGGGATCCATTATATTAGTAGATTCACTGACGAAACGGCGAAGCAGTGGCGCAGTAGGTAGTGCTGTCGCCTCACAGCAAGAAGGTAGCTGGTTCGAGCCTTGGCTCAGTTGTCGTTTCTGTGTGGAGTTTGCATGTTCTCTCTGCATTCGCGTGGGTTTTCTCCAGGTGCTCTGGTTTCCCCCACAGTCCAAAGACATGCGGTACAGGTGAATCGGGTAGGCTAAATTGTCCGTAGTGTATGAGTGTGTGTGTGAATGTGTGTATGAATGTGTCCCAGAGATGGGTTGCGACTGGAAGGGCATCCACTGCGTAAAAACTTGCTGGATAAGTTGGCGGTTCATTCCGCTGTGGCAACCCCGGATTAATAAAGGGACAAAGCCGACAAGAAAATGAATAAATGATTGAATGAATGACCGAAGAATTAATTATGTTGACGTTATTTAATCAATCATCTTGTTTATGACTTAGGAAAGTATGTATGCATGTTTCACCACTGAATAATAAAGGTTATTGAGACTTTAGATCACAATTTAGACTTTTCCCTCAGAATTCTGAGAATCGTGAGAAAAATAAGTCTGGGACTGCCGAGACAAACCTTTACTAACAAATATAGAGAAGCCATAGGCTGATGTCAGCATGATTACTAATTATGCACACAGAGATTGGCTGATGAGGAGAGGAGGTCCCTCTGTCAAGTTTATTTATGGAAACTTTGTGAAGCGAAATCTTATGTCATCCTATTCAAATAAACGTTAAAAATTAACACTATATATTTTTTTAAAAATTGTAAAATGCAGGCTTTCTAAAAAGTATTTTCTTTGTGCTTAATGTTTTAGACATCATTTTAAAATGTTCTTTTAATGTTACAAGTTTTAAAAAAATAAGCAAATCTACTTTTAAAGATTACATTTAAAACATATTTTTAAAAAAAACAAAAAGGGCAAATTTTATATTTAAGAAAAATTATTTAGGCTGTTTTTGTGTATTTTAAAATAATTAAAACAAGTTAATGGTAACTTATTCATTTTCCTTCCGCTTAGTCCCTTGTTCATCAGGGGTTGTCACAGCGGAATGAACCGCCAACTATTTCAGAATACATTTTACACAATGGATGTCATTCCAGCTGCAACCCATTACTGGGAAACACTCATACACTCTTGTATTCACACACTCACTATGGCCAACTTAGATCATCCAATTCACCTATAGTGCATGTGTTTGGACTGTGGGGGACAATGGAGCACCTGGAGGAAACCCACATGAACACAGGGAGAACATGCAAACTCCACACAGAAACACTAACTGGTCCAGCCAGGACTTGAACCAGCGACCTTCTGGCTGTGAGGCAACAGTGCTAACCACAGAGCCTAAACAGTAATTTATTAAAAGCGTATTGTGTTCAAAAGTTTTTAAATGCTTAGATTGACAGCAACAGCCAATTTGGGATAATTTGTGGCTTGGTGTATCTGACTTGTTATCCTCTTCATGATTTTGGGAACTTCTTTTAGAGCCAAAATGTTTCTTGAAATACTCTGAGTAAAGTTTTTTATTATAAATTTAGGAATGAGTCTACAATTAATTTAAAGATTTTCTCCTAGTTAGGCGCTGTTTTTAGCCTTGATTTTTTATTTTGTGAATACAGCCCCTGAATTAAGGTCAGAATCACAAGATTAAAAATAAATAACATATAAACTTACAATTTAGGAGAGTTAGAATCTAGATATTATATATACTGTAGAGTTTATATCTTACAATTCTAACTTTTACCTCAGAAATTATCTTAATTCACTATTAGTTTTTAGAATTAAAAATGTAAAATTGCATTAAATAATAATAATCAGCCCAAGTGACAGTTTCTGTAACTTTATTTCTGAGTGTTGCATATCATATTCTGATGGAGGCCCCAGTACTCATTTGGCATTTACCAGTACCTGATGCACTGCCCCAAGAACCTCTGCTGTGTTGGAGATTCGCCCGATGGTTCCTCCAATGATGTTAAGACAGAGCTCAAGACGTTGGAGAAGCCCGGCTCGTTTAATATCGAAACACATTCCCTTCAGTGTCTAAGGTTAAAAACACTTTAATAATTGCCATAGTCTGGAGTCGTAAAGGCTATAATGAAAAAATATGTATTGGAAAATTGTATTCCCACCTCCAGCACTTCCATGCCTCTCTCCACCTCCAGTTTGAGGTTGTCCTCAGCGTTGTCCCGCGCGTGCTCCTCCGTCTCCAGCCTCTGGCAGAGAGTGTACTGGTCACAGCGAAAGGCCAGAGATAGCCGAGAGAAAGCGGCCTGTGATCGCAGCAAACACAGCCTTCACTGTAAAACATTCGTTGCTGCATTCAATTTTTTAAAGTTGGATCAAATTTAGATAAGATATCATTTGTAAAAATTATAATGAGATATAATTTTCGCGTGATTTTTCATCATATTGTTTTTAGGAATGTATTTAAATAAAATTTTCCAACCTGCAAGAGGTTTGCCAGTTGATGACATCTACTAGATTCAATGTTTGAAAAAATAAATAATAATAATAAATAAATAAATAAAATAAATCACACAAAAAAACTTTGTGGTTTCTTTAAATGTATTATTTGGTAAATCATTGTTACAAACATTTCTGGTTAATAAATATATGGACAAACCTAACTGTTTTTAACTTCAAAGTTTAACGCAACATTTTGTTTATATTTTAAGCAGATATATCTATGTATGTATCGGTTTAAAGGTATACACATTTAAGAAAAAAAACCTTGATTTATAATATTGTATACGTTTGAGAAAAAAAATAAAGCAAATAAATCAACGGGAACAATAATTTAAAATGAGTAGAAATCAAAACCATCATATCAGATCAAGCTGAAGATAATATAAAATGTTTAATATTTCAATCATAGTAGGAATTACCTCCAGTTCATCCTCTGTCATGTCAACACTATGGAGTTAAAAACAGACATTATAGGATGTTGTAAATGTCCAATATCATGTAAACGTCCAAAAAGCAACAAATATCTGGATTCCCATAAAAATTGATTTTAAAAATCACCTGTAGGGACCCAGCCTATCAAACACAGATGGCTCTTCCAAATCAATTTGGTCCTCATTTCGAAACCCTTAAACAAAACAAAGTCACTTAAAATTATATTATACGCTCATCAATTAAATATACTGGTGAGAATTTGGGAGCAATCAGTATGCATTACCTTGCTCAGAATCATTTTCACTGTTCTCTGCAAGATTTCCTGATAGCACTTGCTGGTCTTCACAAGCCTGACCCACATTATTGTTTACAACGTTGAGTAATATTTACATCTTACAATAAATCAGCAACGTATTAAATAAGCTGTAGAGTTAGCTTCAGGATGTCTCATTCTTGTCACTTTGGAATTATAAAGCTGACAATGCTCATTACTCATCTTAAAGCTGTGCTTATATTGAACACTTGATCCGATATTTATGCTATTTGAAACAAAAACGTCACCACAGCTGCTTTAAGAGCTATGGTTTCATCTTTGTACTATGTAGAATAAAGATGACAATCACACCACACCACAGCAACCACTATCTTAATACACATTTATGGCTACTGTTTAAGGGTCTGTTTCTATAGAACCACTACAAATATCTATGTATAAAGCTTGCTTACCATGAGATTTACGGTGACTTGTTGCTCTCTACCACTCTTCACATACCTGCATAATCTCATTAAAAGATAGACTAGGAAACTAGAAGACTAATGAGCCTCATTTAGAATCAAGGCTGACACATGCTCTAGGGCAGATTCTCAAGCAAGTTCCTACCTAGACATTTACCATGTCTTAACCAAACACTCACTGAAATCATCAGCAGACTGAAAGTCATTCAATGAGCGTGACAAAGACATCCAAAATATGCAGTGTTGGTGGTCGTCCAGAAACGTAGTCGAGAAACTGCACTAGTGAGATCAAGCCATTACCCTCAAAACCATTATTACAGAAATGCACAAACACTAGTGTATCACTTTAAATTATGACATGAGCCATGTTTAGGACACAAAAAAATGCAACTATTATTAGAGTTTGTTCATGCACTGAAGCATGTACAGTTGTGCATTAAAAGCCGTCATTACAGCATTTTGTACTAATTATAAAACGCTTCTAATTTAAACAAGTTATTAGCATGCTGTGAAGAGCAATTGATCATGAGAACATTCAGCATTCATTTGGGGTCATCAAAAAAAGACAAGAGCAGCTGAGATTCGGATCAACTCCACATTTATTGTAGAAAACTGAGGAACAGAGTCTCTAGTAGAGGCGCTGTGGTTTTCCCATGGTGCTCTTGATGTAAAGAGCTCTGACGTTTTGCCAGTTCTTCTTCAGCAGAGACACCAGGAAGTTGACAGCCAGGTGGATGTTGTAGACCAGCTCTTCCTCACTCATCTTCACATGACCCACGGCCACAGCCAGACACAGAACCTGAATGAGACAAATACCACCATTAAAATAAATTTAAAAAAAGTTATAAAATGACATCAAGAATTTTTCTTTTCATAATATGGTTAACTAAACCTTCAAGCCACAAATTTACAGTGCCTTGGGTGCCTAGAAAACTTGCATATAAATAAAATATAAGGCAAGATCTTCTCTTGTGCTGATTGCATTATAAAGCTTGAAGCATTAGAGTCAGTACTCAGTACCAGCCGATCAACAAGACAAGGAATCGCGCTACTCTGTATCGGCTGCAAAAACCCTGATTAGAGCATCCCTAGCTTTGACAAAGTTGGCTGTGAGAGCAGCAATACTCCACCTGGCTGTACAAGACTGATCTTAGTAAGCTAGTAAATACACCCTCAAGAAAGTATACTAAGCACAGGTCAAGTATAAAAGTATGCTTTATTTACTAAGTATACTAATATCAATGTACTAGTGTACTTAACGTTCTTCCAGAAGCCCATTAAGATACATTGACAAAAGCTGCACACTTTATGGATTAAAAAAAATGTTCATTTTTAGCTTGTGCAGTAGTACAGTACCATTAATTGTTCAGTTTTTTTTTACTGGTGTCATTAAAAAAAATAAACACCATGACTTTTTTGTCAGTGTCAGGCTGAACAGCTGTCACGCCGCACACCGAATCCCATCTCAGGCCATCATGCACGTTACATACTCTATCATTATTTCAATTTATTAGAGGTGTGAGCCTACACTAGTCTCCTGGTACGGTTACGATTATGCCATCAATACAAAATGTCAATACATTACCTCTGTGCATCACGGTGCATTGACGACACTTTCCACACTTCGTTTTATGTATTTCACAGCACAAGAATTCTATTAATTAATTTTTGTAACTTATTTTATATGCATTTGTAGTACAATCTAGTGCCTAAATCAAGCAAATCTTTATATGAACTGTACTTTTAAATTTTACCTGCCCAAAGAAAACACTCATTGTGAATGTATTAATCAAAACTTAAGCATATGCATCACACAACATAAGCATTCATAAACTAATTAAAATATTGTCCTGCTTGCTTTCTGAACATCGCCTATGAATGGTCACACACTCAACATAGGCTGCAATTTGCTTTAACATGAGAGAAAGAAATGGTTTACTTTCATTTTCTACATGCTATAACTTGTCAGTGAAAGACTGTCCAGCGAACACCGTGAATTGTTCAGTTTCTGCATTAATTACTTGCGTCATGTCACAGTAGAGCGCTTGCGTGATAAATGACATTAATACATAACATTTAGGATCTATTACCAAACATTCCGTGCCTGCATCGCGATGCACCAAAGAAACAATTGATTGACACCCCTACAAATTTATGCTTTGACTTCTTATAGTAATCTAATGTGATTTAATCAAACGTTGATTAAATTTGGCATTTACAGAATTTCATAAACCATCAATCGCTAGATACTTTGCACAAATAAACATGACCCAAAAAGCAGTTGGTAAACTAAGCTTCATTCCTACAAGTTTGCCATCAAATACATTAAATAGCAATTTTATTATTTTTGTAATGCTATGTAAGCAACAAAAGACTATTTTCATGGCAAGAACATTTCAATAAATATACAGTTAAAAATTAACAAACGAATACATAAAGATTAAGCACCAATATATAATTAAAAAACTCAAAAATAAAAACTTGTGGAAAAAAAAATTACTATTAACTGTATTTAAGTCTTTATTCATAATGGCAAAGCATAATTTTCATCAGTCCTTTGGTCTTGCATAATACCCAAATCTAACAATGTGAAAATTATGACAACCAGTTAAAAAAAAAAATTAACAGGAATATTTGCATTTAAAATAAGTATCTTGTAAAGAATAAATTTCACAATTATTTTGATAACAAAAAAACAGACTTGGGTATGCTTGAGTGAAAAAAGTATGTAGATATCACAAATATAGACATACCTTCTTCATCTGGAATTTGATGGTGGATTTCACCTCATCCACCTTGGTGCCCAGGTTCTCATTATGGGTGAGCAGAGAGGGAAACTTTCCTGCCTTGTTGAGGCCAGGGCCCAGGATACGAGGAATCTGCTTGATCAGAGACTCAGAGGCCAGGAAAGCATCGTACTTCTTTGCTAAAACACACACACAAAAACAATAAGCCTATTAGCTACAGCACTGAGCACATTAGAGTTATTTACTTGTACCGTTGTCCATTTCGGTTTTTAAACTCACCCAGCTTCTTGACCAGCTTCTTGTTCTTATTGAGCTTCTTAAGAGCCTCAATGTCCATGTGTGGCAGTTCAGCGGCCTTTGCTTCATCACAATGCTGCTGGTCTCCAAGAACGCAGACAGAGAACTTGGGCCGCGGGGTGGTCTTCAGCCTATATGGGGCAAAAGATGAGGTTTACTAATCAACAACCAAATCAGACCCTCTTTGACCCATTTGAGGCAGATCAGAAAAATCTTACCCACACCACCTCAGCTGGCATCAGGTGTCGAAAGCACAGGCATTTAATAAAATGGTCGGCTTAGGTATGACAGCGCGAACACAGTCACCTATAGCCTCCCCTCATGTTTTAAGACCCAGGGTTGGGGTCCGCCTGCTTCACCAGCCCACTGAAGGGGTAGTTCATACAGACTACCCGAGGCACTTCTCCACTGCCTGCCTTTAACATGCCCATTCATTTTATTTATTAAACCCAAAACTATTCTAGACTAGTAATTCAGGCAGGCAGAGAGAAGGCTGGGCGATACAGTAAAGGTCCGAACCTGACAGTGCCTGAGAAACGCTTGTCCTTCTGAGGGTCGTAGTTCTTCAAGCTGATCTGGAGTTCCACGGTTTCAAGAAACCTTAAATATAAAATAAATTATATCAATATAAATGTAACTTTTCCTTACAGTAGTGTGTCGTTAAAGAGTTCAACAACAGTAGTGTGCCAATAAAAAGAGCTCAACAAAAAAACTCAACATTCTGGCTCAACACCTTACCCGGTGTAAATTACACACTGAGGCAGGCGTGGAGCCTAAACATTTGTACTTTTTAAAAATTTTTTTGTACATGTAAATAATTGCAGATCACTACATCTTGAAAAAAGCTAACTAAAAGATCAAGGGAGAAAGGCGGTGCAAAATGATGCCAAACTTGATTCTCTGCGGTTTATGAAACGTGTCAATGGTAAATGAGTTAATCTTGGTCTCAGTGTGGCAAGCAGTTCAATTTGCTACTAATATTGTTCACACCAGGCGCCGTTTGCGTGTGAATAATTTGTTTACTCCATTCGTGCATCAAAACACAGATTTGCATCATGGGCAGGGCTTCTATCTGCACAGTGACTGTAGCTTCGTTGCTAAATGCCTAACATGGATTTTATTGAGAGAATAGCCGTTTATGCGTTTATGAAGGCTGAAAAACAGCGTTGATTCGTTTGGAGCCATGCCTAAATCAACTGGATATATTCTGAGGTGCATCCAGCTCTGTGAGCTCAAACTCCTCCAGAAACTAGACCTGGATGATAGAAGACTGAGCAAAGCCTAGTTTGACAAACTGTTGTCACCATAAATCACACCCTTAACAAGAGCAAGCTCCTGATTGGTCAGCACGGTGCACATGTTCATTTAAGTTCTGATTTTTCAACTAGAGTGATTCGCACAATCCAAGTGTCGATTGTGCAAAAACACTCAACTTGTACCGCTTCATTCGTGCCACAGGATGTCTATTTGCATCTTTGCTTTGACTTAACATGTAATTAACTCACGCTTGACACTTCTGCGTCTAGTGCGAACTCAGCATAAGTTATGTTTTTTTTTAAGAAAAAAAAAAAAGCAAAAATACAGTACTAGTCAATATATACCTTTAGGTTAATTGAAGGGATTACATTTTATTTTTTTGCCGAACTATGTCCAGTTCAGTAACAGCTACTTCATAATGCATCATTACATACTAACGTTACTGGATTGGTTTTACAGTAAGATCAAAGTTCATTAGCAAGTTACTTGCAACTAGACAGCAGCAGAATTTACTATGAAATACTACTAACGTTAAATTGAGGCCAATACACAAACACATTTTACAAAAACACAGTGGCCTGGCATCTCGTGAAAACACCAAACTTACTTTCTCTTCTTGCGACGGGAACCGGCCTGGACCTCCTTAACGGCCTCGTACAACGTGTCTCTCGAGACCTTGCTGTAGGGGAAAATATAAAACAGTTACATTTTTTTTAACGAAACTTCGTTCTGAAAGTCTCTAGTGTCGCAATGACTGCATGAGCAATCAGGCCGGTGGTTGAATCGTTAACATGTCGGCAAAGACTGCTTTTTATAAACAGATATATCTATATAACAAAGGTTTATCATAAACTATAGCAGTATAAACGATTACAATTTCAGATGAAGCCAAATAATCTTCAGATTGAATCGGATTGCGTTTCAGATGCGGGACCGCTGTCGAGAACCGTACGAAAATGTCAAGTAAAATATAACTCTAAGCGAATTCCGCCAACGTTTTTGGACATTATATTTGGTAGTACATTAATTAAGCGGTAAAATGTTACGTATAATATATGTTAAACACATTTTATGGAAAGATTCTCACGTGCCTCATTTTGGCGTGATATCTCCCCTCTCACACGGAGCTCGGAAAAGGAAGGATGAAGGGAAGTTGCGCTGAATATATGCGCCTGAGTGAGAAAAAACGGACTTCCCGAGCCGCCATGTTTGTTGTGGCAACAGAGAGACCCAATGAGTAGTTTATTTTGTGTACAGAGAGTTTATCACGTACAATTTTGTAACAAGTACTAGTTACTAGTCATACCAAAATAAATATGATAAAGAAAAATAATTACAGAACAGTACCTGTGACCCTTCAACTCAAAAGGCTGCAATTATATGATCAGAAATACAAAACATGCAAATATTCTATTATCAATGTTAAAAACAAATGTGATGCATTTGTGCAAACTGTGATATAAAAATTCCATTAAATGGTTTTCTTTTTAATAAAATAATCAAAGAAATTTCATGTGTCAAAATTAAAGCCAGTATATACATTTATAAAGGTATAAAACAAAATATTTCAGATAAATGTTACTTTGAGTAAAATGCAACGTTTCTGCAAAAATATGAGGCAGAAATGAGTTTTCAATGTTTAAATTGATGCAATTATGTTGAAAATGTAACTCTGATCAGTTATTTTAAACTGCTATAATTTACAAATCTCAAAATTACTGTTTTTATTAATGAACGCAGCCTTAGTTAGCAGAAGAGATTTCTTTCAAAAACATAAAGAAATCTTTGATCTTTAACAAATGTTTCCAAACTTTTGACTGACCAATCAATTCATCTTAAGCATTCAAATGTGTCCAGCACAAAGCATTTGAATAATTCAAATTCAGACAATTTCACTGAAAATGGCATTTTTAATAAATATTATAATATTTTTTTATATAAAGTGTTAAATCATTTAATTGTATATATTTTTCATACCAATACAACAACACAGTGCAGGAAACTCTTTGTTACACTGAAAAAAAATATACTTGCAAAACAACACCATCAAACCAACTGGAACTTCTGCATGAAAGTGTCATCTAAATCATTTGATTTAAAAGGAAATCCGTTTTAATGCGGCCTGCAGTGATTTCTTGAGGAAGGTTTCATTGAAAGACAAGACACTGGAAAGTGTGTGGTGGCATGCAGGGTTCACCTAAAACACACATGAAATAACAATTAAAAGCCTGTTTCACATTTTAAAAAGATGTTTATTAAGTGCTTTAAATGTAAGGATAATAACATCTATTTTTTAAAACAAAACAATGTATAAAGGTTGATCATTTGGAAAAGTGGCAGAAGGTAGATTTTTCTGACAAATCATCTGTTGAACTACATCCCAATCATCACAAATACTGCAGAAGACCATGCGAGAGATCTGCAGAGTGGATGGCAACATCAACAGCCTGAGGTATCAAGACATTTGTGCTGCCCATAACATTACAAACCACATGAGAGGGCAAATTCTTCAGCAGGATAGCCCTCCTTAAACTTCACCTCTAAATCAAAGTTCCTGAAAGCAAAGAAGGTCAAGGTGCTCCAGGGTTGGCCAGCTCAGTCACCAGATATGAACATTATTGAGCATGTCTGGGGTAAGATGGAGGAGGAGGCATTAAAGATGAATCCAAATAATCTTGATGAATTCTGGGAGTCCTGCAAGAACGCTTTCTTTCCCTCCAGATGACTTTATTAATCAGTTATTTGAGCTATTGCAAAGATGTATGGATGCAGTTGTCCAAGCTCATAGGAGTCATACACAATATTAATTCATTTTCCACTGCATGATGACTTTATATTCTCTACTGAACATTATTGCTGTTTGACAAAACTTTTGACCCAGCAAAGTCAGACCTTACTGTCCTAATTAAATAATTAAAAACCATGGAATAATCATATTTTATTTTGGTAAAATGAGCGCAATCTAGAGGCCTTTGCCTTTCATATAAGCCACTTATGATACCAAATGATCAACTAGAAGTCAAGGTATTATTTGTTGTTCCTAAAACTTAGATAGATGACGACTTTTGTCAGATAGTGTAGAGGTTAAATGTTCTGTTTGGATGTTTTCTAAAAAAAAAAAGACTAGTTATTACAGTCATACTCACATTTGACTGATACTTGGTCAGGACGCTCAGCAGCATCTTGGCAAACTTCATCGATTTGCTGAAATGTGGAGACTGGCTGCAAAGATGCTCAGCGAAGAGACAGAAATCCTCTTGACTCAACTCAAGCTGTGAGGATAGCAACAGAAATCATTAACATACAGCTAAATCATCCTTTAAGATCCAAGACATTTCCGGGATCACCTTTGAATCCAGCAGCGCATGAATAACTGATAAAACACCCTCATCCCACGACGCTCCGAGTGCTGTCCTAAGATTTGAATGCAGATTAAGTGTAATACTGAATTTCTTTCTAAAAGCTGAACTGTGGTAATTCAGACATACCGAAATACAAGAAGCCTGTGATGAGGCTCAAGGCAGTCTATCACCAGCCTACAGAGCAAATCTGCCTGGGCGCTTCCTATAGAAAATACAATCAAAGTTGAATGAAAAAATATTAATAATAAATGTGAAAAATAAACCACAATTTGATACTCAGGTGAAAATAAAACAACTGTAATCATACCAAGTTGACCTTTCTGTAACAGTGGCTCTATCAGAGCCTGGCATGTGGGTCTGGGGTAACGAGAGCAGAGAGACGTTACAGCCGTCACCAAACAGCGAGAGGCCGGTTCTGCAAGGGACAGAATCTGAGACAAGTGATTGTTATTAGGTGTATATTACGGCAAACTTCCCAAATGTACATTTAAAAGCTAAATTGAACTCTTTAGATGTACAAATTTTATTGGTGTACACCACTGCAAACCATAAAATGAAATAAATAGATGCTACAAAACTTTAAAGGTTTGGGGAATGTGAGTTTAATAAATGTTTTATGAGGTTGACCAAGGTTCACCAAGAATCAAAAATACAGTTAAAAATAGAGATATTATGGAATATGGTAATTTACAAATGAATAATATGATAATTAATAAATAAATAATAATAATAATAAAATTATAATAATCACCTAATATAGGTAACAATTCCTTTATTCTTTTCAAAATTGGATGCATTACAGCTGCTAGGATGATACTACGTAATTGGAAGTGTGCCAGAATGCCAGAAATGAAGGAGTGGATTAATGGAATGATTGAAAATTGCATCATATGAGTGTATAGTTGGGAGATTGAACAATGAGGGAGAAGTACATAGAAAATGGGATAATCTCTGGCAACATCTAAAATTAGGATAAATGAGTATGTACCTTCAAAGGTACCACAACCTTAATTTCCATATATGTTTGCTATACGTTGTTATTCTTAGTTGAATTTTCTTGGTGTACGTGGCTGAATATGTAACATGTATCATATGTATGTGTAGTATGAAGTGTGTTCTTTGTTCTTGGGTGTTGAACAATAAAAAAGTTGAATTACAAAAAAAAAAATCTTCTATTAGTTGATAACAAAAGTTTTTTTACATTCACCTTTTTGAGCAGCAGGTGTGTGATGAGAGCTGAAGCGGTGCTGTGACTGAGGTCAGGGGTCAGTTTCAGCAGACAGCTACAAAACTGAGGCAAACGCTGCTCAGACACTTCAGACAAACACAGCACTGAACACAAGACCTCCACCTGAGAACAGACACAACAAATCCATACTAATGCAAACTTTTCAGGGTCAGGAAAGTTTAAAAAACAAGCATTTACATTTGAACTGAAGCACCACAAACCTCATTGGGGTCACATTCATGGAGTACTTTCAGAGCCGATACAGAGCTGTCATCCCACTGCAAAGGATAAAAATATATAAAAATATAATAAAACAATATTCCAAAAGGTCACATTTTAGGCTGGTCTTCTAACAGTGGTCTGAAATGCCACAATTACTGTGATTATTATTCATATATACATAAAAATATATACAGTACACACAAAATTATGAAATAAACACAACCTTTAGTTTTGTAAATGATTAATCATTTAACAGTACCAATCTGTTACAAATGTTTTATGAGATATATGTATATATATATATATATATATATATATATATATATGTGTGTGTGTGTGTGTGTGTGTGTACTACTCTGTATATGGGACGATATGAGACAGTTACAAGTTTGATCAATAAAAACATTTCTTACCTCTGACTCTGCATCTAATAATTCTTTAATGACAGGAAGAGCAGCCTAAAAAAGGAATGACAAAATGTGTCCATAAAATCAGATAAAAACCTAAACTTGTCAAATTATGGCATAATCAAGCTTATATTTAGGTCAAAACAATAGATTTGAGAATAACCCTTTTATTTTAGAATATATTTAAAAATAAATATAATTTAATCATGTGATGTTAAGTTGAACATCCTGAAGCCAAGACTTTTCTATGGTAGTGCTGTTGAAAATTCAATAGTCAATTGATGAAAAACAGGTTGTATACGCATCCATGAAATTACCTTCATGTGGTCTGGCAAGTTTTTTGAAGAGCCTAACAGATCAGATCGAGCCTGTGACACAGAGCCAGCGCTCTGATCCATCTGTGATCTTCTGATTTCAGCTTCCTCCTCTTCAATCATTCCCTCTTCATCTTTACTTGAAGAGAAATCCATTTTTACCTTTTTACTTTGAGGATCTTTCTGTGCATCTCCATCAAGATCCAGTTTGTCGCTTTTCCGTTTTTTCTGACATAAAACTGACATGTCTGTTTCTTCACCCTTTGCTTCCAGGGCCTCAAAACAAGATGTCCACCCTCCCTGTACATCAGTACCCCGAAATCTTCCACAGAGACTCTTTAGTGTTTCTGTACAGTTTGAGGACAGGAGCGTCCCTTTCCTAGCCCCCTCAACATCTCTTTTGAGCTGCGTGATTAAGGCAGAAGCCCACTGATTTCCCCCGTCCTCCTCAGACAGACACTGGAGCAGATGGAGAACACGGTCTTTAGGATATCCAGGGTGAATCAGGTGCAAAAAGCACAGCAGATTCCGCTTAAATACATCCGAGAAAACACAAGCCAAAGGTTTCCTGTGAAACAAAAGAGAAGTAATGATCACATAAAATATTTCATTTAACTCTCTTATGCATGTGTACAGGTGTTTAACCTTCTTTTACATTTTTAAATCAAGTTTTCAGGGACTATAATAATGGTGTAATTTGATTTACAAATTGATGAAATAAATTGATTTAAATTTATAAAGGTGATTTGAAATATTAAGATATTCTGTCTCGTTTTAAATTATTTAACTAGTGACTTCTATGTATATATGTGTCTGACATGTATGATGTGTATATTGTGTGTATGACTTCATTGTGGACGGCAAAGTAAGACATTCATTGTACATGGAAACTTGTTTCCTTAGTGTACACATGACAATTCAACTAATTGAATTAACTATGAACAAAATATGAATGAAACATGTCAATGTAAAATATTTATGTATAAATTAAACTATATAAATGTTATGACTAGTATTTATGAATATATATATATAACCTTTTTGGTTTTAAGGATAGTGGCAACAATTTTATTTAGAAATAAAGCATTTCAACATGCCACCAAATGATTCTTGTTCTATATACAAAATGAAACTGTTACATTTTAGCCATTTTAATGGGTGCCTTCTGTAAGAAATGGTTGAAAAAAAGTAATTAAAATTTATAGTAATATTTAAAAACAAAATTACATCAACAGCCTGAGCTATCAAGACTTTTGTGCTGCCCATTACATTACAAACCACAGGAGAGGGCAAATTCTTCAGCATAATAGCACTCCTCATACTTCAGATTCCACATCAAAGTTCCTGAAAGCAAAGATCAAGGTGCTCCATGATTGGCCAGCCCAGTCACCAGATATGAACATGGGGCAAGATGAAGGCGGCGGCCTTAAAGATGAATCTAAAGAATCTTGAAGTCTAGATGTCCTGCAAGAACTCTTTGCCATTGCAGATGACTTTATTAATAAGTTAGTCATTGCAGAGATGTATGGATGCAGTCACCCAAGCTCAAGGGAGTCATACAAAATATTAAGTCAATTTCCACTGCACCATGATTTTATATTCTATACTGTATAAGTGACAAGACCAAAGCAAAGTCAGACATAGAGGTCTTTGCCTTTCATATAAGCCACTTCTAATACCAAATGATCAACTAGAAGTCAAGATATTATTTGTTGTTCCTAAAACTTGCATGGGCAACAAGACTTTTCTCAGGAAGTGTAGCATTACGATTGTTTTTGATGTTTGAAAATCATTTGGAACTTAAACCAGTCCCTGAAGTATTTAGGGCAGACATTTAAAAGTACGAGTATGACTTAAGCAGGTAGAAGTTTAAATTAAACAGATTTCACTGTGAGCCAGGTTTGACAGTCTAACGTTACTTACAAAACAAGCGCGTCCTCGTGCAGACATGCTTCCTGTTGGCACAAACTCTCCAAAAATGGAGTGAGTGAGAAATGTGGATCACATTTGCGCTGTTTATTGAAAACCATTTGTGCTTTTCTAGCTCCTTCTGCTCCTAAATGCAGAGCGTGAACCAACAACCGCGACCGTGCGTCAAAACGCTGCAAAAGGGCTGTCCGGTCCATCACTGACGAGACAAGCTGCAGCCGTCATAACTTATGATGGACGAAGACCTTCCAGATACCGCTGAACTATGCGGTTCTTCAACATAACACCCCTGATGGCTTGTTGTGTACAAAGTTTTGAATGACCACTTGTACTTGGTTACAAAATGGAGCTTTTTGTTCATTGGTGACCTCTGCAGGACTGGAGGGAATTATCCGCCGTGCAGCATTGTACTAGTAAAGTCTCATTTTTTTATTTGTAAAAACAAGAAAAAAGAAAAAAAAATTATACAAAAAGGGCAATAGTTTGTAAAATTTAAGCAAATTTCTACTTCTGTAATGTTTTACCAAGCACTCTTAAAAAGCTTTTGTGGCTATACAACTGGAAATAAAACGACAAGAGAACGAAGTGAGGCAAACAGTGGAACATTTTTTATTTTCACTTTTCTTTGAATACAAACGTACTAAAAAGTCATAAAATGTGACGTCAAGCCCTGGTATAACCTGTTAACACTGCTGTAGAGAACAGTACAAAATCAAAGCCTGCTGACAGGTTGCACGCTTAGTGTTTGGCAGAATACTGACAATAATATAAACTAGTAAATACACAATATTAAAATCTGATTTCATATAAAGGTATCAGAAAAGAAGGTATAACAATCAGGAAGCAGCACAGATGGAAGTATTAAATGATTAAGTGAAAAAGCTAAACTCAAATAAGTGACCATGCATTCGGGTTTTAAACTTCAACTATTTTTTTGCCCTAGTCTTTTTTCAAACTAAACCTGAAGATACAGACTCTATTTGAGATCTGAGCATTTAAACTTGTCCCAAAACCCTCACACTCATACAAAAAAAAAAAAAAAAAAAAAAAAAACACACAAAAGCTTACACGGCTAAACAATTAGCCAAACATGTAGAGGTGGCTAAAAAGTCAAGCCAGCCCTAAAAAAGGGACAATTGTTTCAGTGCAGAAGATATGCAAAAGCTCAATCCAGGAAGAGCCAAAATATACATGACTCTAGAGGGTCCTTAATCATCAAGAAAATCCAGAAGGTCATCGTCATCTTCATCCAACAGAGTTAAGGCAAAAATGTAGCTCCATAGTTGAAGGCCATCAATACCCAAATGCTCCAGCATTTCAGCAGTGTCCTAAAAGTGGGGGAGAAAAAAAAAAAAAAAAAAAAAAAAAAGCATAGAAATCAATTTTCCATTTTAAAAGTTCGATAGGCAATGAGATGCGTCTATTTGGTTGTTATAAACTCAATGCAAGTAACATTTACCCTGTGTGTTGAGCGCCTGCGACGGTGTGTGTGATTCACGGGCATGTCATGACTGTAGATGCACTCAGATTTAAATGGGCAGCATCCATGACGCATGAAGAAAGTGCACTTTAATTTGCTAGAGACAAACGGAAAACCACAAAACAATTCAGAAGGTCAAAAGAAACAAAAATCATAGAAAACCTGAAATGTGAACCCTTACCTGCTTCTTTCTTTAAAAGAGGCTATCAGTGATGCCTTTTCCTCACCATCACAGACCCAGTGCTTGCTGGGAATATAAAAGGAGGACTTCACTCTGCACTGTGGACAGCCCCTAAGAAAGTAGAATAGTGCATAACATGTACATTACATGCAAAAAAGGGGGAGTGAGAACGTACAGATAACGTTTATACCAGGTACATAAAGATACATAAACAGGGTCTTAAATATATTGGTTTGTACACAATGTAGTCTAAAACACCATTTGCTAAATAGCTTGAGGCATAAACACTTGTGGTCATAGTTCAATCTGCCAGACAACTACCTAGTCTCGTTACACTGGTTTTTAGACAATATAAAATTGAAGTGGATGAATCCGAAAATAATTAGCAAGGTTCATGTTTGTATGCACTCGTCACAGGCCTCAATTAGGATTTCAAATTGACAAAAACTAGACAATCAAATATACAATAGTCAACCATGGGGTAGGGGTACATGAAATTTTCATTTCAGTCTGGTTAATTGTCAACCTATACAAAAATTGCTGCGTTTAAAATCTGATTTTTTTTTTTTGGAATTACTATAATAATATTAATAATAAAATAAATAAGATATTATATAAAAGTGGGCAGGGCTAAGCAGTGGCGCACTAGGTAGTGCTGTCGCCTCACAGCAAGAAGGTCGCTGGTTAAAGCATCAGCTCAGTTGGCATTTCTATGGAGTTTGCATGTTCTCCCTGCGTTCTTGTGGGTTTCCTCTGGGTGCTTCGGTTTCCCCCACAGTCCAAAGACATGCGGTACAGGTGAATTGGTTAGGCTAAATTGTCCGTAGTGTATGAATGTGTGTGCGTTCCAGAGATGGGTTGCGGCTGGAAGGGCATCCGCTGCGTAAAAACTTGCTGAATAAGTTGGTGGTTCATTCCGCTGTGGCAACCCCGGATTAATAAAGGGACTAAGCTGACAGGAAAATGAATGAATAAAAGTGGGCATCAGACCAAACAAGCAGCACCGCAAATGTATTTTTTTTTCCGCACAACGTCTTTAAGGAAATTTTACCCCAGTATTTACAATGTAATTTCTGTGCTAGCCTGCTGCTAATGACAGCGCCTGCGCTTAAGCTATCTTTAGTGTCTTTTTATGCTTTAACAACCAAATGGATGCTTAAATTTAACAGATTTTATTATTTAACCGATTATATTTGAATTGCATTACAACATCAATGCTGTAAAAGGAACCTTTTGAAATTTAAATTAGTCAAAGCTTTCATTGGTAAACCAGTGCCTGGAAAGCAATAGCTGTGCATATTGTACAAGTGGAGCAACTTTTTATTTTTTTTAAATTTACAAATGAATTTTCCCATACGCATGCTGTTCAACACTTAAACAGCATTGAACATTGATCCACTTTAAATATTAAACTACTGTAAAAGTTCAAAATGTTTCAAAACAAAGCATTTTAAAAAGGAGATTTAACATTGAGAGATTAGGGATTCATAGACTAGTTATACATTTATAAAAGTGGTAAAAATGCCCCAACACCTTAAAAAGGCAGCTCATTATGAGTCTATACATGCATCAAACGGAGTCTGCTCTGTATCATATTTCATTATCTTTTTCACATCCTTGCGCAACTTGCACAAGCTTTTCACAATATTACATCAGACCGTGCAGTATAAACACCAAACCATAAACTAATAAACAAAGTAAATTAAATTGATTAAAGGAACAGGTGTAAACAAGAATGGGTCAATCTTTTTGGAATCTGATCAACCAAAACAAATACAAAACTCACTTGATGACCTCCTCCTGAAAGTCCTTTGTTTTTCTCCAAGTCACAATGCAGCCAATGCAGAAAGCATGATTGCAGTTGGGTAGGATGCCGTAACGTCGTTCCTGAGCGGTGGATTTCTCAGAAATCTTGTCCATGCAGATGCCACAGGCAACATCATTGCTTTGGTCAAAGGCCCCTGAACATTGCTGCACTGATGAGACTGCTGCTGCAACCTGACCTGATCTCACTGGCGACTTAGTCACCTATAATGACATATAGAAAAAAAAAAAAAAAAAAAGCTCATTAAACTCATACAACCAACACTACTATTTGCGAGCTATGGAAGCGTATCATGTTTGTGACCTGCGTTTCAGCCTCGGCTACAGTAATTTTTGTGGCTTCGACAGGTGCTGGTGCAGCCATGAAGGATGTAGAGGTGTAGTTGTGTGAAGAACTGGAGTGTGTAGCATTGCTTTGATACAGAGTTCTTGATGCACCTGAGGTAATCAAATACGAAAGTCAAACAAAGAAAATCTAAAATGTGCAGTTTTAAAGAAAATCTTGAACAGACGGCTATACCCAGCTGGAGAGGTACATCTTCCACAACCCCGGACTCCTCTTCCTCTGCAATGCCAGTGGTCAAGCGTTCAAAGTTCCGCTGCAACGCGCTCATACTTGTGACCAGCGGCTCTGAACCCCTCCGATTCATGCTATAGGCTCCTTGAGGGAGAAGAGAAGGTTCAGACCCTCGGCGGTCAGATAGAGATCGGGATCCTACCGCAGAAGGAAACACAGCAGGGGCTGAGCCACGTCTGCTGCTCACCGAAGAGCCTTCCCCATTTTGTGGAGTATGGAGATACCTGCAATTTGGAAGTCAAGGAACAAATGAAAACAAAAGTATAATCTTCTTACACTAGTTACCACAAATAAAACCACTCAATATTTCAAGCAGCCTAATGGAGTTATTAGAGAGATTAAGTGCATACATAAAATGACCAGTCTGTGGCTCAACGGTGTTCAGCAACAGAATCTTTACTGATAAAAAGTTTCTGTTTTACAAACAGTCGCTTATGTCTTAACAAATGCCATGTAACTTAAGTTGCAATACAACAATAACCAGTGTAGCTTTTTTGGTGTGCATTTCAGTGTTGGTGCAGACAAGAATTTACAACACTGGAGTACAGTAATGGATCAGAATTGTTAAACTTTTAACATAGTATTAGTGTTATAAATTTTGCATCATCCATCCCTAGGCTGTCTTCATGGGTCTACAGTTTGTAGTTTGCAAGGCAATTTAAAAAGTGATAGGGGCTCAGTCACATGGACCAATCATCACCTGCCAGAAACTACAATAACTCTTCAACTCCTTTTAAATAGCGTTAAAAAAATATTACAATTCAAGCATTTATCAGAAATAAGGAGGTTCAAAAAAGGCCAATTGAATCCTTAACTTACCTGCAACGGTCACCAAACCAGCAGCCTCCCTTTTGGAAGTATCTACACTGAACCTGAAATGACGGAACTGAAGGAAACTCGTGTAGGTAGTAACAACTTTGACCATATCGACACGATCCATTGATGAACTGCCTGCAAAAGAGCAACAACAAATCCATCAGAAGTTACCAAGTTAAGAAACAAACTAGTCCTCGAGCGACCCGATTTAGTCGTTATTGACTACGGCAATACACGGAAACTGCAGGACTTTGTTAGTTTAGAAACAAACAAATCCTGCAACGGTCTTCTCTCTACTTCGTTGCAGTAACATTACATAAGTTGATCAATACAATAGTTGATTATAAACCAACTAACGTTAGTCTCTTTGCAACAACAATAACAAACAGCTCTCTGCCTTTACCGGATGTAAACATCAGCGGCGAGAAACGTTAAAGCAGGAAAAAAGTCACTCTTTCATACAGATGATCGGAGCTATAATCGAAGTTTTCATCCGATCTAAGGCATTAAACTACCTGCAAACTTCTCTTTCTGCGTTTGAACTGCCCTTCCTCGAGTGTCTGTACGGTATGCGATAACGATCCATTTCCAAAGCCTCAAAAAAGTTGATTCAAAGATTTTTGGAGCGAGGAGACGGACAGAATCGTTGGAGAAAGAGAGTGAAGCGCAGGAGACACGTCACGCAGGGCGCGCGCTGACCAACCAGAGCAGCCCGTCGGATTACTATAGGATAAACAGCGATTTGGGGACTATGTGGGAAGGGAAACACCAAAAATCAAACTTGGACTCACAACTTTTTCTTAAATATTTTCATTGTTTGCAACAAATTATAAAACTGATTTGCTGAATTGCGCAAATGCTGAGTTGATAGCAAACCCACCTACAAACTGCACTGTTGTCTCCTGAGCTTTTGGATGTGTGTGCGTCTCTTTCCATCTCGTGCTTGTCCCTCTTTGCCTGATGTGTTTGTTAATGACATGCTCACTTTTATAATTGCTGGGCGGGGCTTCACGTTTAGACCATTGATTTAGACGTGTGATGGATAAAACGTGACGCCACGCGGTGATTCCAATCAATGCTGGGAATCGGTTCTTTCAAACAGAATCGAATCAAAAAATGAATTCAGCGATTCATAGTTTGGGTGTCTGTTATTTTTGTATGCCCTCAATTCTATATTGATACTAAATGTAATTTACATATTAGGCTATGGATGATTATTAAAAATGAATTGCGGTTTCAAATAGGTTACAAACAATTGCTAGAATCTGCATGGAAATGTATAGATAATAAAAATACTATCAAAAAACAATCAAAATGTATATCGATCCACAGTATAAATTTGGTACAATAAACCACATAAAAGCATTTTTTCGACTTTTAATCACATTTTATTAAAATGATAGATGCAGTATGATTCGTAGATAGTTCGAGTCAATTAGAGGTTCTTTTGAACAGAATCATTACACATTTATTAATTAATAAAAGCGGTGTTTGTTGTACATTTACTTAGAATCTGAAGTTCCTGGAGGTAAATATAATCACACCGAACAGATAATCTATAAAGCATTTTAATAAAATGTGTTAAAAAAGTTTATTAAAATGATTCATAGGTTCTCTGTTCAGAATGATTCGTCTAAACGTTATACGCGATAGTGGTGATAGTTCGAATCAATTAGAGGAATCGGTACTTTTGAACAGAATCATTACACATTTATTAATAATTATTAGCGCTGTTTGTTGTACATTTATTTTGACTCTGATGTTCCTGGAACTAAATATAATTTATATTAGAATTAGGTTTAAAACACTAAATTACATTCTGAAAGCAGCCCAATTCATTAACAAAACATTCAGACTAGAGCTCAGACACCAGTAATTTCGTTGAAATGTTTAATCATTTTCACACATTTTATATAGTTTGGTATTCTGCAAATCATTCATAAAGATTAAACAAGCATTTACAGTTTACTATGACTGCAAAACCGCTTGTGAAATTATCACATCTTTTGATAAATCACAAGAAATCTAGAAATGTCTGGAATTGTTAACTGTGATTCAAAATAATATCTCAGAAATCCTTACAATTGTGCGTCTTATCTAATCTGGTCAATCAATCAAGACTTTTTTATAGACTTTACTGCAAATTTAAAAAAACATTAGTAGATGCTTGGTGTGTGTGGGTAAAACTGGGTGACAGAAAAACTATTATTTTAAGGAAGAGGAGGAAAAGGATTTCCATCATTTCATCTTATTGTGCTCTCTATTTTCACAGTAACAGGTTTCTGTATGCTCCAATAATCCGTCAAGCTCCATCTTCAATAAACACCTCCTGAAAGCAAATTTCAGCCATAAAATAAAACCTCAGATATTTCTGAGATACTTCTTGATGTGAAATAGATGTGTTGCACATCATAATAATACCAATTAATGTAATTCAACATTAGAACTGCTTTTAAAAGTGTACACTGAGTTCCCAAATTGTGCAGCATTGCTTGTGACAGGACTCTCGGCAGCATCTAAGTAAAGTTCAATGCAAGTATTTGCTCAAAGCAATGCAGATGCAAAGCGCATAGGACAAAATCATCAATCCACGCAACTGATTAAGTGAATTTAGTTATAGTTTGAATGTAACCACAGCCCATTTGTTTTCAATCACTCAATATATATATTCTCAGAACACGTTCAATCAACATACTAATGGAAGACCTAATTTCATACAACCGCTTACAATAACTCATATTTTGTCTCGTCCTGGTAAAATATGACCTTGAGACTGGTACCGGCTAAATACTTTGTGCTAAACAAAAAGATCAGCACATAAGAATCCTATAAATGCTCATCACAAACAAACATGTCCTTCCATACAACTAGAAATTATCACTCTTTTGTAGATTTCTCCCAAGCAGGTAAAGTGAGTTATTAAACATAGATTTGTCTTCAGTTTCAATACCAATATATATTTGTAGCAGCTGACGATGAAAAACAACATCCTCAACAATGTAACAACATTTCCAAAATAACAAAACCGACTGCTGTACAGTTCTGCGTGGAGGCTATCTATTACCTTAAAAGTGCCTAAAGAAACAGGAAGAAAAGAAGAACCACAGAAATAAAAGCCTTAAAAACACATACAGTAAGTGGCATTTGCTCTGATCTCCCCACAGAAACATACTGGATATCAGTACTTGAAACCCTGACGACTTCTAAAAGTGTTAGCCCTCATCAAGCAAATGAAGAACTACATGAAAATAGTGATAGTAGTAGTAGTGAATGATGACTGGATATTCAGTGTCCTGGTAGTAGAACAGATTTGAGTTTAAATAAAAGAACACTCCGTAAAATCAGAGGAAATTTCAATATTCAAAGTCAGTATTTGTAAAAGTCCTTTACAAAAATTCAGTAAAAAAACACCTATGGCACCACGGTGCCATTAGGATTTGTGCACTGTCAGTCTGATCTCTAGTCATGTCCTTGAGTCTTGAGCTCAATACATGTCTTTATAGATCTCCTGTAAAAGCGGGTGAAGTGAGGTCTCTGATTCGGTCTTCTTGATCATCTGAACCAGCTGTGCGTTCTCCGTGACCAGCTGTCTGAGGTCGGCCATCTTCTGCAGCAGCTTGGGAAAGAGATGAGAAGAGTCCGGATGGTGAACCTGAAGATGCTGGTCCAGAGCTTGCAGAATGCCATCCTGAATCTGCTCCACCTGCTTCACGTTCATCAGCCCAGGACGATCTAGAGCAATGAGAGACCATGTTTATGTCTGTATCAAGCGTTTCTTTTTTCCATGACCATACTTTAATGTTGGAAAACACATGTGCAAAACATAATAAAAGCTCAATGATATGATATTATGAGAGAGTCGTCTTTGCACAATCTTTTCATTTGTAAAATATCTCAAGATTACATTTGCATGATTAATTAAAAGTGATTTCGTAATAAAACATTTCTGTAATTCTTCAGCACCTGCTTTTAGATGGAGCACTGTTTACGAAACATAGCCACAGTTCATTGACAAGCAACGAAAAAAATTGAAGATGATTTAATCAGGGTTATTCTGAAATCAAAGGTCATCGTTCTCCCATGTTAAAACAGTTTTTGTCACTTCTCAGTAGGCATGAGATGATAGCCGGTTTACAGCGGTTCGGAAAAGTCACGGTTTTAAAACCGCCAAAGTTTTCTGTCATACCGTTTCTAAGGTGTATATATGGTGGCTGAGAGAGCTTAACATGCTGCAATTTAAGAAAGCACATGCAATTACAAAACACACCAGCAAATAAAGAAATGATCTTTATCAATTTGACCGCACATGTTGCAAATACTCACAACACAAACAACTTAAGAAACACACAGCAATTAGTTACAGCACTTGCAAATATCCAGACAAAACAACGGATATTTTTCAAGGGACCCAAAACCATGACGAACCCTGCTGAGAAATGGATTCATTATTATACCGTGACTGTTGCTATGAAAGGTGATTGATGGTCTTTGAAAGGCGAGTTGTTTTTCGATTATTTCAATATCCTGATTACACGACATAACACATCCATCATGGTTCTGGGTCCCTTGAAACATTTCCGTTGTGTTGCGTAGATATTTGCAAGTGTCGAGACTAATTGCAGCGCGTTTCTTAAGTTTTTTGCGTTGTGACCAATTGCTGCGTGTTTCTTCAGTTATTAATGTTGTGAGAATTTACAACATGTGCGCGGTCATAATAATGAAGATCGTTCCTTTAGTTGCTGGTGTTTTTTGTAACTGCATGTGCTTTCTTAAATTGCAGCGTGTTAAGCTCTCTTGGCCACCGTAGATATGCAAGTTACTATTTGATTGCGTTTTTTTAGGGCAACAGTCTCTCCAGGAGAAAAGGAAACTCTACATCAAAAGCATCTGGTCCAAAATATTTTAAATGTTTCTTAAAATAAATATATATTGTATTCAGTTGGGAAATAAAAGTTGTTTTTTACTCAGACATTTAAATAAAACTTATTTTTACTAATAACACTACCATGATACTAAGAAACCGTGATAATTTTATCCAAGGTTATCATCCCATCAGAATCTTATACTGGCCCATGGCTACTACTACTCAGTGATCTACAGTTCTGTGTTGCTGCTTCATTCACATTTAATAACATGTATTTACTCCAAACTCACTTCATAACTTAAGCTGAGTGTCTGAAATGAATCCTTTTGTGAGATGATTCCATAGTTGTTTGTGTATTATTCATGTTGTATGAATAAAGCAATAAAATCCTTTGATTATTTTCCTGGGTCTTTTCTTTGTGGTGTATTTGTAGTTTCCGCATGAGAGCGCCCTCTGGCCACCAGATGAGATGTACTACTGATCAGAGAGTCGTGCTTTCCTGACAAGATGACCCAGCTTTTCGCAATTTTGATTTCATTTTAATTCATTATGTAGCCTTAGTCCTGATTGCTTCAAGACTGAACTCAATCAACATTCCTGTATGATCTCAAATTCAACTGCTCTCATGTTCTATATTTCAATATCTATATTTAGTGTTAAAGGGACAGTTAGACAAAAATGTACGCTGAAATGCACAAAAAGATTTCAAAACGTTCTTCAAAATATCTTTTGTGTTATACAGAAGAGAGAGAACAAGAGAGAAGTTCATGTTAGGGTTTGGAAGCACTTGAGGGTGAGTTTGTATGTTTTTGTTTGTATGTTTTTGTTCAATGCCAGCTTCTATTGCTATTTTTACGGACAGAAAATATACACTACAAAAATAAATTATATTAAGCTTTTACAATTTATCAAAAGCTATCTTTGGAATAAAAAAAAGTGTTAAAAATCACTTTAAAAAGAATGAACTGTATAAAACACGTTTCTAACAGAATTGAAGACAACACAAGCGGAAAAATATATGCTTGATAGTTAAACGCTTATACAAATATGACACGTGGGAAATCTCCAAGTACTAAAAACTTGTGTATCATCCTGGAGCGAGCTATTCTACAGCGGGATTCCACATATACTCTACATCTGATCCCACCTGTTGGAGAATTTATAGAAGTTTAACTAACTTCATGGAGTTTGTATGTAGATCTTGAGGTCAAAATGATTATTATCCGGTTGAAGTATTGCTTTAAAAGAACTTGAGCAATCAAAGCAAATGATGGAGTGAAGCAAGCATCTGGAATAAACGGCTCAATATCCTCACCTCCACACAATATGATGGCTGCTACAAACAGAGCCAGGTCACTGTCGTCCAGCTCCAGAGCATTGAATTTCACTGCAAACTCAAACTTGGGCTCCATGATCTCACTGAATGGCTTGCGTAAACTTCGCAGAAACTCTCTCGTCACAAAACCCTTCCCATTGGCCACCAACAGTCCATCTTTATTCATGAGAGATGGGAGCATCGCAAATATGGCCTCATGGACTCCATATTTTAAAAGCGTTACCTGAGAGATAAAGTGAGAGAGAAGACATTATGTATCAATACTTAATTCATGTATGATAATCCCCATATACAATAAGCCACTAAATAAAGGTATAATATAAAATGTTTATATATAAAGCTATGCTAAAAAATGAAGATTTGAAAACGTTTGAGTTAAATGTATTTTTTGTTTTATTTTGTAAACAACTGATGGCATTTCTCCAAAAAAATAGTCATTAAGAGCATTTTTTGGCATAAAAGATTTCAGACATTTATATTCATAAAAAAATAAAAAATACCAATGTTTCAAACAAAATTCAGAACCTCAGTTGTTATTTTGACCAATAATTTTTTCTGTAACAACCTGTATTTTGTTTGTAGTTTCTTTTGTTTCAAGTAAAAGCCACATAAAAGCCACCAACATTACAGTGCAGTGTACATTATTGGTGACAGGAAGTCACCAAGGAATTCATTTTCAATGTGAGCTAGCGGCAAACTCTGGTGAGCATCTTGTAAAGTGTGGGTGTGGAGAAGAGTTGAAAAGTGGTTAACGGTATCCGCTTGTTAATGTCGTTGTGACGTCACACGAAGCGTCTTCTGGGTCCAAGCGCTCTATTCAAATGCATGGGGAGACTCATGAAATAGTAATTATAAACGTTTACAAAGTGATTTAATACTTTCAAAAATCAAGATCGCAATATATATGTCCATGCCTAATGTCCAATGGCCAAAAGCAAGCGCAGAGATTGTTGTGTACACTATGACTTTATAAAAAAATCAACTTTATTGTGTGATATGAATTAAAAGTGATCATAAACAAATCATTTCTCAACTCAAACGAGTGGCGGCTTGGACCCGGAAACACGTCATCACTCAACAAGCGGATAGTAACGAGCTATCACATGGTTTAGCAGCAACCAATTAGAATATTGAAGCTTGACAGGATTCTAGAGAACAAAGTGCTGTGAACTTTGCTTCTGACCACAATAGTTTCCAAGAGAAGCAGAGGTTGACGATTGCTATGTGGGTTTCCCAATTTATAATGTAGGTTGTGCATAAATCAATGTATATTAGACTAGCCCTTAAACAGGAGCACGAATTCTAACCACTCAAATTTTAAGTTGCTTTTAATTGGCTAATTTCCTTAACAAATCATGTAAACATAAAACTGTGTCAATAGCAGAGCGAGTGAATGATGCTCTCACCAACAGTCGCAGTGTAAATGAACGCAGTGTGCTGTTGGTGGGGCAGCATAGATGTGAACACATAGTTAGAAGTCACTACTAAGAAGCACTTAAACAAAGGACTTCGAGGTCAACACATATATTTAATACACTTCACTGAACATAGACATCACCTACACTTGATAACTGCAGGTTAGCTATTTTATAATTAATAACTTTAACCATTAAAAGCTTTTAGTTACTAGTTAATTAGTTACTAGGGATGCACCGATACGATTTTTTTGCAACTGATCCGATTTCGATACCAAAATTCTGAGTATTGACCAATACAGATCTGATCCCAATACTGTGCTGTTTTATTATTATTTTTATTATTAGCATAATACAGTTTCTATAGTTCTGGTGATGAGCTCAAATAACATATCTTCTTTATTTTTTTTTTTAGCAAAGCCTGATATTTTCCTCCAGGTTTGAAGCCGCAAATGAGATAGAGAAACTGAAAGCATGTCTGAAAATAATTATTGTCTGAAAAAAAAAACTTTTGAAACAAATTTCGTTTGGTATAATTTGTTGATTATTTTAATGTATTTTTGTTGGTCAGTTATCTACAGAAAGAATATTTAAGGTATGGTTCAAAACAAGGTCCGCTTTTATGCTTCAGCAAAGTAACCGACAAACTGGTCTGTTAAATAAAATGTTAATATATAAAACAACAGTGAAATATTCACAGTGTCAGAGTAGCCTATATTGGGCCAAATCATTTCCTGTTAAAGACTATTCATATGCGCCGGGCCATCAGTTTCACTTTTGTATTTTAATCAACTTCTTTGACCACAATGAACCAAGCTTTACAAACTATTTGAAGCACTTAACGTATTCACCTCGAAAGAATAAACTCCATCTGAAGGATTAAAGAACAGAAACTCATTGTGAGAATAATCTTACGGAGTGGCTTATGTCATGTCTGCGCAGCCGGTGCCTGAATAAAGCATGCAGCTGTCTGGTATCTGCGGACACTTCCAAAACAGCAGCATAAAAGGGAGGCTTTTCTAATTTAAAGTTTGAGGTAGGCCTACTTTGTGTGTGAAGAGCAGGTAATAGCCCTCACTACTTCAGTGTTGCGAATGTGATCTGCTGATCTAACAGACACAGCACAACATGATTTACAAACAGCAATGATCTCCATGTTGCAGGTCAAAATGAAGCCATTTAATGCGAAACTAAATCCATTTTTCCACTGATTATTTAAACTAACAGGAACAAATAGTCTTGGAGAGAATTTTCCATGTTGTCATAAACGCGACATGCAGCTTGAATTGTGAATGAATGGAGAATGATTGACAGGCACAGCGGCGGGAAGTGCTGAACTGAACATGAGTTTAACCACTTAAATATTCATCTGTACATCATATTAATCTATAGAATGGCTTCAAAACATTTGGGATATAGTAGCCTACATGACAACTTTCTAGTGCTTTAAAATAGGCTACCTTCATGGCTTTTTTTTGGCTTATAAATTAAACAGAACATAATATTATAATAACAAAAAAATGAAGTGTTGAACTGATATCTGATGCAAGTATCGGGATCGATGCATCCCTATTAGTTACATTTATTAGTAACTAGTAATCAGGTTATGGTAACTTATAACCCTAACTTTTCCGAATTTGACTGTAATGCAACAATTTGCACCTTTAATAAAGCTGCTTTGAAACAATAACTATTGTGAAAAACACTACACAGATACACTTGAAATGAATTGAATAAACAGATTTCACAAACAAAAAGTCAATTTAACTGCACCAATAGCTCTCACCTGATCATTCAGGAAGAGATCCACAAAGCCAGGTATGTTTTTGGCGAACTCTGTTAGCTCTCGCACAGTTTCCACTGTGGTGCACTGGCAGCGGTAGAAAACATGAACCCCGATCTCTTTGTTGAGCGGTGCTCCATTAAGCTGATTCCAGACCAGCCCGTTTTCTGCCTGCCACAGGGAGTCCATATCATGGATCACAAAAGGCTGGAGAACAAAGATGAACATAATTAAAAACAGCTAAAATAACTGCACGTCAATGACGTAAAATAATATAATAAATAACATAATAAATAACATCATTAAATATTGAGTTAATACATGTGTCAAAATGTTATCATTAGTGTATCCGTAGTAAAACACACTTTCTAAAAGCTGAATGCATACCGCAGTGCAGCTGGTCTTGCCCGTGAGGATGCTGCGTGCTTTTTTCTTGGTCATGTTGAGGTTCCTCAGGTAGGCTGTGTTGACGTGCTTGGCCAGTGTTTTGAGGTCAGCTCCACTAGAGCTCTGCGGGTTCTCTCCAGCGAGTAGTCCAGCCACCAGCTTCTTCTTCTCCGCTTCTGGCATACGTCCGTACCTTATTGCTGAGGCAAAAACAAAAAAACAAGCTTCGTTCATTATATCCAGTATACATTTTAAAAGCAGAGAAGAAATGTATTACAAAAAGGAAAAATGAAAAGCTGAGTATGATTGCTACACAATTTAAGTGATCTTTGGGTTGCCTAGTTGGGCTTTAAGGCTTCATTTACATCAAAATGAAAGTTCTGCGAATTAATTTTTTGCCATAGCATTTCTATCTATGTTCAGAGCACAAATTAAGATTAATCAAACACTGGAGATTTTGTTCCTCGATTGAAATTCTGTTCATTCAAAATGCAAACTAGGGCTGCACAATACATCGTTTCAGCATCAATATCGCAATGTGACCATTTGCAATAGTTCACATCACAGGATATGCTTGATTAGAGTCTGATGTGCATTTGCATGTATTTTTGAGGCCTGTGACTGTATGAGAATTTTAAAATCATTTAGGCATACTTTTTTTTTTTTTACCATATATTAACTTTATTAACAAGTAACTAAGGTGAATGTTTTTACACAATGAAGACTACTCAGAATTCATTTTACATTTATTTATTTAATTACAGTACTGAAATACTGTTGGACTCCTCCTTTATTTAATTTGAACCTTTTGATAATTGCATTTTTAGATTAGATTCAACGTTATTGTCATTACACATGTACAAGTACAAGGCAACGAAATGCAGTTTAGGTCTAACCAGCAGTGAAATAGCAGCAAGTGCAGGATACAGATTTAAAAGTTATTAAGTGCCGTTATAGAAAAACTATGGTGATATTTACAGATGAATGTACTATGAACATTATTTACAGGCTGTATTAGCTATGAACAGAGATTTACAATAAATTAATATATGTACAGGTTGCTATTAATAGTCAGAATGTCTATGCACAGTGGGTGTGTACATAATTACAAATGTCCATGTACAGTGGGTGTGTACAGTTCAAATAAGTGTATCTGTGCAATGTAGTGCAATGAATATGAGCAAATTATAAATGTGCAAATGTTAAATAGTGCAGTGATTGTGAGGAGTATAAGTTAGAGGAGAGTAGAATCGAATAACAAAATGTTGCAATGTTATTTTCCATTATCAGCCCTAATGCGCACACTTCAAAAAATTCATACGGAAATAAAAAAAAAAATCCTTAATAATCAAGTGGTTTAATCTAAATTCTGTTAAGAGACATGATTTGCTGTATATAATAAATAGATTTACAATGCACAAACACAGGAACAAACTTCACTTGTTCTAGCATGTCAAGCAGGAATCACTGAGATTCACTAACCAATTCTTAATGATGGAAACATTTCTGATCAATATTAATAAGAATAAGGTCTTTAAATGCATCTAATCACTGGATTTATGTTTTTGATTCTTTTGTTTTGAAGCAGTTAGAGTTTTAGGTGATTGCACTTTAAAAGTAGAGAACCAGAAATCTGACATAAAGATGAACTCATTCTGTAAGGTTTTGTAAGCCCATGGTGACTAGTCAATTATGACGACTACATTTTTATTTTGATGTGAACTAACTTTTAGTAACTTTTATTTTACTACATTAACACTGCCAGATTACAAAATTGTCATTAAAAAAGCTTGAACTTAACTGAGCTGAATGGCACTGTTTCTTCTGCCTTATAGCTGCATTGATTTCATTTCACAATAAAAAAAAATCAAGTAAACTAACAGAAGTGATTTAACAGTGACTTAAGCTGAACACCATTGCCCTTCTGTGGAACTTCTAACTAAACAGTTGAATCTCAGATTGTTTCTTACTTGATGCAAGTCTGCACTTGATGAAAGTTCTCAGCTGTTTGGAAACAATCTGAAATGTCTTATGTTCTATACAAATCAAGGTGACTTGGTTTGGATGTGCAGTAAGCAGTGAACTGTACCGTCATGAGACATGCCCAGTGCCAGGCACTTCTGAAAGCGGCAGTACTGGCATTTGTTCCGGCTCTTTTTCTGGACTTTACAGGCGCGCTCACATCGCTCGTACTCCAACTTCATACGAATGGTGCGCCTGAAAAAACCCTTTAAACACAAATGACATCCTCACTGAAAAACGGAAAGGCACACATGCACGTGGGCTGCTGAATTACTTGACCACAGAAACGCAGCTTTAACCATTAGGAAGGCACATCAATGTTGATCCTGGAACATCTTTTTTTTTTTTTTTTTGAAAATGTATTTCATGGAATATTAACTGCAAATTTTCCTCAAAATCAGAGGGGAATAAGAGTTAGATAACAATGTAGAAGTGCATAAATATAACCATAAGCCTAAACTTAACAAATGGTAAACGTATCCCTTCATTCTGATTGGCTGATTGGAAAGTTGTTCCAGGATCAACATAGATGTTAATCCAGGAGCATGTTCTACTTGGTGAAATCAGGTTGGCGATTAGGAAGCCCAGAGATTTAAAATAAAGAGTTATTTTATTAAAGATGCTGTAGGATATTTCAGGGCGCACTCACATTAGGTACAGGTGCCTTAAACCATGCCAAAGCGCCATTGTCCCTCATCCCCTCTCCCCCTCGGCTTGCACTCACATTGCAATTTTGCCAACTGGACCTGAGCACGCTTACATCATCGATGATGTGACTGTTCAGTTTAACAGGAAGAGAAGCGCTCTTGATCAGCACAGTGGAGATAGCTTTAGTTATATTGTTTTGTATTATTTTTAGTCGTTTGGGATGCAGTGACACGCAGTCAAACACTTTGCTGAACAGATCCAACAACTTTTTTGACGCTCATAAATTTTCATAAAAGTCCTCGTGCAGTAGGTTTTAGGAGGTTTTCTGAAGGTGTAGCTGGCATGCAGCAAGGTGTTTAAGTCTTTAATAAACTACGACAATTTGCGTTCATTAAACAGTAAGAATGATCAATAAATACATTTGAAACAGTCCCTAAAAGTGACACTGCATCTTCAGTTTGGGGTTTTGCATTCACACTACAAGCATACTGCGTCAAACTCTGGCTCACCTCTTCCAACATGGCCAGGGCCAGCCAACTGAAGCGTGCCTGAGCGCAATTCAGAGCACTCGCACTTCTCAAACAAATCGGGAACTGTGCCAAGGCATGGTTCGGATTGCATAGTGTGAGTGCGCCCTCAGTCATTTAAGTCATGTGGTCCAGGCCTTTTGAATGGTTTACAAAAAAATGGATTGCTCCCAAAATCTTTTTGGCTGTTTATAGATCCTTGAACAGGTGTGATTTCTCACGACATTATCATTTACAGCACCTTTAATAGTTGTTTATAATAGATGGCAGACTATTTTAGGCCACAAATGCACTCGGGTTTGTGTAAAATATGAAATGTTTAGCAAAAATTACCTTACAGCCTTCACAAGCATGAACTCCATAATGAAAACCTGAGGCTTTATCTCCACATATACGACACTCAACGTTCAGGCCCAGTTTATTGGGGTCTTCGCGTCCCAGCCGTAGCTGGTCCGACAGTGAAAGAGAGGGCACCTGTAGCGGATCTAGAAAATTAAAGCAGAAACAGAAAGATATTACTTAAAGCAGGGGTGCTCAACGCTGTCCCAGGAGATCTACCTTCCTGCAGATTTCAGTTGCAACCCATATCAAACACACCTGCCTGTAATTATCAAGTGCTGGTCAGGTCCTAATTAATTGGTTCAGGTGTGTTTGATCAGGGTTAGAGCTGAACTCTGTAGGAACGTAGATTTCCAGGAAACGGGTTAAGCACCCTTGATTTTAAGCATCTCTTATCAGGCCACTGAAAAGACATATACATAAAGGAATATAAGAAAAAGTATTTTATCTCCTTTTAAAAAGTATGAGATCAAAACCAGGCAATTTTCTTTGACAATTTCTTACTTTATGTATTCGTAACAATTTTTACCTGCTATACCTAGGCATTATACCTTTTTCCATTCATGTTTACACAAACTCTAATCATATTTAATGGGAAGCTTGATGACCATCTGAAACAGCTAGGATAACAAATGTTTTATCTGCATTGTTTTAATTTACAAAAATGCTTTCAGTCACTTAATTACTATTAACTTAAGAATAGGTTTGAAAGGCAGAACTAATAAACTAATATTTGGCTATTGATGTGTGTGACAGACAGAGAGACAGAGAAATTGATAGACATTCATATTCTATTTCTACCATTACACATGTTAAATATACATTTATTATATTGTTGTAGTTGTAAATAAAACACAATTATGCTTCCCCACAATGACGATAAAGTAGGTTAATTTGTATGCATAATCCTGCATTTTTTTGTTTTTTGTTTACATTTTTAGTTTGTTTGATACCTATTTTTAAACAAACTGCTGTATTATACACAAAAACAGTCTAGAAAACATTCATAATTAAATATAATTAATGATTTTACATCAATAATAATGATGTAAAAACAAAATAATTATTATATTTATGATGTCAAAGTATTTCCATCACATAATACATCTACCTGTAATAAACATTTTTCATGAATAAATATTTATTTTTAAACATCAACGATAAAATAAAGGTTATTGTTTTCAGATTTTCATTGATAATATTAATAACAATAATAATGATAATAATAATGAAGCAGAAATCTTATAAAGTCATAAATCAAATATGAAGATACAGCTTCATCACAACAAAAACAGAAAAACAAATGTCACTGAGAGAATGTTACTGATGATTTTTACCTGAAAATGCTCCAGCTGTTACAGGCGTCTCACTATTCGGTGGCGGGCTTTCCTGTGGTGTTCTATCTCCGTTTTGCTGATTGCCCCCCCACGATCCCTTACTGCCTGGCGAGGCCTCCAATCCTGTGATATCAGACGTCTCGCTGCCCTCCACCTCCTCACCCGACACCGAGCTCGGCTCCTGTAGGTCTGATGTCCCGCCACAGTCTGAAGAGGCAGATTCCCCCTCCTGCGCCCCCAACCACGCTGCATCTCTAAGAATCGGGACGGAGCTCAACTCAGTCTGCAAAGACGACTGGCTCTTCATCACTCCATCCACTTGGCCGTCACATTTCATTTCTGAGGTAGGTTCTTCAACCTGTTCCATGGTTCTCCGGTCTGACTGCTAAATCTCACAACCATCCATCACGAGACATCGCCTCTGAGAAGACAAAAGACGGGAAAAAAGACTTCAAGGCGCTGGATGAGAATATGGCCATCATTGTTGCTGAAGTGACCTGGTGTGTAGTGTCCATGCTCTAAAGATTATACGGGTGACCTGAGTTTGACCTGAGATCTAATAGTGCTTGTGTCAATTCCTGACTCCTCCCCACCCCCATCATCACCTCTCCGCTGACTCACTAAATATAATTAAAGGGAAAATATTGGGTCATCGAGATTTCTAAAAGGCACAGCAGGGCTTTGTTTACATGGCAGGAGAAACACACGTTCCATCTTAAATCTTTACAAAAAATAGACACTGAAATGGTATAGTTCTGGAGATAAAAACTCATCAATTTTAATCACAGAGACATCCTTTCATGAAACGCAAAACAACATAAAGTTGTTCATATTGCAGAATGAACTTTCATTTCAAAGGGGTTTTTAAGATAGGTTAACCATTACACTAATCATAAGTAGGGCCACAAAGTATGGTCTTATATGCAAAAGTTAAGTATCTTCTAGTATATGTATGTTAGCTATGCATCATTTTTTAAAATAGCTGTTATGTCCAGTGTTGTGTTTGTATTTATGATAAATTTATGTAGCACCGTTGTCCAGCGAGACACGACATTTCGTTCTTCTGTAGGTCCACATATGTAGCAGAATGACTATAAAGCTCAACTTTACTAACTAATAGCATGAATTCTAGATGAAAACAAATGTTTGATCAACTGATGTTTTGCTATTAGTTTAGCTCTTTGCATTTCAAGTCATATCATATATTCCTGTACTTTGGCAACACATTCCTAATCTGGAGTCTTCTGTAGTCTTTTCCCACCTTTTACTCAAAAGTTATTTATTTTGCAGCCATACAAATTTTCTTTTTTTCTGCCATTTTTATATTAGTAAGGTCAGTCTACTTTAATGTACTGTGTAATGTGAAATATTTTGTTAAAGTAAGCTTACCCTAAAAGCTAAGTGTCTCATGTTTACTGTATTTACCAAGTTTTGAAAAAAAAAAAAAAAAAACATATACACTCACTGGCCACTTTATTAGGTACACCTGTCCAACTGCTCATTAATGCAAATTTCTAATCAGCCAATCACATGGCAGCAACTCTATGCATTTAGGTATGTAGATATGGTCAGGAGGATCTGCTGCAGGTGAAACCGAGCATCGGAATAGGAAAGAAAGGTGATTTACGTGACTTAGAACGTGGCATGGTTGTTGGTCCCAGACGGGCTGGTTAGAGTATTTCAGAAACTGCTGATCTACTAGGATTTTCACGGCCAACCATCTCTAGGGTTTACAGAGAATGGTCAAAAAAAGAGAAAATCTATCTCTAGATTTCTGCTGCCACATTAGGATGATAGGGTCAGAATTTGACATCAACAACAAGAAAGCATAGATCCATCCTCCTGTCTTGTATCAACAGTTCAGGCTGCTGCTGGTGTAATGGTGTGGGGGATATTTTCTTGGCACACTTTGGGCCCATTAGTTCTAACTGAACATCGTGTCATTGCCACAGCCTACCTGAGTATTGTAGCTGACCCTGACCATCCATTTATGACCACAGTGTATCTTCTGATGGCTACTTACAGCAGGATAACGCACCATGTCATAAAGCGCGGATTATCTCAGACTAGTTTCTTGAACACGACAATGAGTTCACTCACTGTACTCTAATGGCCTCTACAGTCACCATATCTCAATCAAATAGAGCACCATTGGGATGTGGTAGAATGGGAGATTCGCATCATTGATGTGCAACTGACAAATCTGCAGCAACTGCGTGATGCTATCATGTCAATATGAACCCTAACCCTAACCCTAAGCCTATATGAACCAAAATCTCAGAGTAAAATTTCTAGTACCTTGTGGATTCTATGCCACAAAAGATTAAAATCAGCTCTGAAGGCAAAAGGGGGTCCAAAGCGGTACTAGTAAGGTGTACCTAATAAAGTGGCCGGTGAGTGTGCGTTTGAATCAACTACTCATACTGTGAAACTGAATTCTCAAAACCACCCACTCCTACATAACGCATCATGATTTCCACAAACAAAGCAATTTGCTGACAACACCAAGCCACTTTAACATGCAACATAATACTACAAAAACGTTGTTTTTATTCAGCATCAAACCATCATATTTTAAACATTTCTGAATAATTGCTCACATCTCCAGTAAATATGCTTAAAGTTCAGTTTTATCATAGGAACAAACTATTTTAATTTGAATACATTTTATTTTAAATCATAGTAATAATACCTTTTGGAAATAAAAGATTTGAAGTGTAATATTTCAGAATGTTTACTGTATAAATGCAGTGTTAAGGCAATGCATTATTTGCTGGCATTAGATAGGTCTTACTCTGATAAAGCCTTCAGAACATCTTTTTAAAATATTTATTAATAAATAGATAAATAATAATAAATTATAATTATATTTATAATAATAAATAAATTATATTACTTAAACTCACTGGTGTTATCCATCTCAGAGTTGGTTGGTTTGGTTCAAGACATATCAAGTTCTTTTCTGAAGAAACGTCTGACATGCCTGCAGAGAAAATAAATTGGAAAATACTGCAGAACCACGGCCACTGACAAAGTGGGCGTTTACTGCAACACTGTTAGCCACATGAAATATGAATCTTTTTTGGCCTGGCTTAAGGGCTTTTAGAAAGACTGAATCCATAAACGTGGAGAATAAGAAAGTAGCTTTTGTCTCAGCAGGCCGCTCATTCATCCGCTGCTTCTGATTACACAACCTTTATCTTTTCAAAGCAGTCGGACGCAAACTCTGCCGTCAGCAATTACACATCTGTGTGGTATATTTAGTCTGCACAGAATGAGAGGTGATAAATCCATTATGAGACTCAGCTAGGTGGTTTGCTTAAAAAGATAAGATAACCTTATAAAGAAAGCTCCTGTGGGAAGTTCATGCAAAAGACTTCAGCATAATAAAACATACATAGTGAGGTGAATGAATACGGAGGACATCAACTGGGCTCAGAGAGCTGTCAAACTGTAATACAATAATAAATGCTATTCTCTATATAAAACTGAGTCATGGGATTGCTGATGTGAAACATGCAGAAAAATTGTAGAATATTGCACAGATTGTCAAGAAATCATATATTACAACAAACTCATTAATTATAAATTCTTTAAGTTGTCTTACTATAGGACATGAATTTCATTAAGACTGCATTGTTTTATGTTAAGAAAAAAATGCTATAACATGTACACACAGAAACTGAAAAGTCTTCATGACAAACTTTCAAAATAAATGTTTGGTTCAACTTAATGAATTGTGACAGAAATAATAGTAACTAGATTAACAAGGATTAAAGGGTCATGAAACACCAAAACTCGTTTTTTTTGAGATGTTGACGTTTTGTCCCATGCTGCTAAAAACACTATTAGGACTCACTAAAAATTTAAAATTGGTTGTGTTTTTGTGTTATTTTAAGCAAATCCATTCTTCTGTTTTGAAAAGAAATTTTGAAGCTAAGTCACAGCCATGAGATCCTTGTGTAAAATTCCAGCTATAGACTGGCTGTCGGTACCGGTGGGTAAACCGTGACACTTTTCACATCTGGAAATGGTGAAATCTGGATTTGCCACTCGTCATATTTAAAAAAAAAAAAAGATGCGGTTCCAGTTGGTGCTGATCAACCTGTTTCTACAGATTTGGTAAGTGTGTGATTGGTGTTCTTTGTTTATGTTTTTTCAGAGGCAAAGTTAGTTAGTATTGTCAGCAGTACTCTTCCAGTTTTTAAAGATATACCTTAGTCAAAATGATTTAGTTACTCAGTTTACAGTACGTTAATATCACTACAATATAATGGACTGAAAGATCCACTGTAAATGCTTCTCTCCAAATGTAAACATCTAAACACCCTAATCAAACTAGTCCTGTAGAATTTTCGCCGCATTTTGTGACAAGGTAGTCTATACACACCAGCTTTCTGATACTATTCTTTGCACCTACCGAGTGCATCTAAGTTTCCGAGAAAGACAGTTTTTTTTTCTCCTATTCGTAATGTGGTATCAAACATTCCATTAAACCTACGCTCTTCCACCAGTTCCTCGCATCCAATATTTTGTCTGTCATGGGGGGCATGCATGAAACGTTCCTGAATGAAAGTGAAAGTGCCAAACTGCAGTTAAAGTCAACAAATTAATAATTTGGCAAATAATTCGATTACTGATGTCCACGTAAACAGTCACTGTCTTTCTCCCCTGCATCTGTGTGTTGTTTTGCCTCTGTGATCAGCGTGTGCTCAAACTGAAACTCTCCTTTTCATGCAAACCTTTCCCTCTTTCGCCACTCCCACCTAAATAAAGTTTGACTCAACCACTTTCCTGACTTTTTTCAAACTAGAGGTGTGAAAACACCCTGCTGAGATGGGAGTGGGGGGGTGGGGGTTATGGCCCTTTAAGTGCATAGTTTCTCATTCATGCTTGTTTAATTTTTGTGTGTGTATATATATATATATATATATATATATATATATATATATATATATATATATATATATATATATATTATTCATACAAACTCATGGCAAACTTAGTTACATTAATTAATTATTTCAGACTTAACTGTGTATATTTGTTGAACTTTGTCTAAATAAATTGGTCAATATGCGTTTTGATCACTAAACTTTATTTTTGCATTAAAAATAGAGGCTAGAAATATTGAAACTAGCAAGAAATGTAGTTCAGAAAAATGTAAATAGAGAAAAATACATTCATAACACACAAAGTTTAAGATATATTGTCTATCAACTGGCAGAAAAATTTGTGCACTTCCCCAGAACACAAGGTGTTTACGAAATGTCTAAAAGGGCACCTGTTTTACCCCTTTTTCAAGATTTAAGACAAGTCTTTTGTGTCTCCAGAATGCGTCTATAAAGTTTCAGCTCAAAACAACCATCAGATTATTTATAAGAGCTTTCAGATTATTGGAATTTTCTGCTTGGAGACAATGCAGCTGTTTTTGTTACGTGTGCCTTTAATGCTAGTTCTCCCCGGCCACTGTTCTCCGCCTTGGCTGCTTCAGATAAACAGCACAGTGACAAACATAAAGGAAGCGTTTGTGAGAAATACTACAGTAAGAACTTTCCCAATGATTATTTGATGTATTTGTTGTGGAGTTAATTCAAGTATTTCTGTAATGATGAGTCACACACAATGATATTACAAAGTTCACGCACACACACAGCGCAGCGAACTTTGCATGGTAAATGTGACAGAATACATGTTAATATACACTGCTGTATCCACATCCGTTATGATAATGTGCAAAATATACCCGATTTAATGTCCACAAATCGAGATTAAAGCGTCTTCTTTTTTTAATTGTACTGACACACAGCTGTGATGATAAAGTAAAGAGGGTAAAATCGCTGTAAGTCATTACAAACATGCACTGTTTTAAAAACCTTTTAAACTTGTAAAACTCATTCTAGATCACATTTGATGATGATTGTTGATCACAGCAAACTCAACAGATCTTTTAATCCCAGTTGCTTTGCGCACGTGCAGTCTTGTTGATATGATTATACACGTTACTATGGAAACATTTTAATATGCGTGAAATGGAAAGGATTTGGATCCTATTTTAACGTCAAATGCTAAAAATTAGAATTATTGTATTTATGTCAACTCAATATGCATGTGAACACACTACACTACATTACACTTCTGTCCAATCAGTTACCAAATAATGATTTTCACCGTAGGTGCCGTTTGAAGGGTTGGTTCACCCAAATATACAAAGCTGACCATCATTTACTCACCCTCGCAACATTCCAAACCTTTCATGAAGCACACAAAGAAAATCTAAAAAAGGAATCTGCAGAGTAAACAACCAAAAAATAAGTAAATATAATAAAATACAGATCTGGAACAACAGGAGGGACAAAGTTGAATGAGTTCATGCTCATGACGGCTCTGTTTGACAAAGACATTGCTAACAGATGTGTGGGTCATATGGAGGATGGAGACCACTACCAAACAGACTGCATTATAATCCGTGGATTCTGACAAGAGGATTAGGCACTAGCCCAATCGACGTGACTATCCCCTAACAAAGACAAAGCAATTTAACAAGACGTCTCTTGCCTGTCCCCTGCTTTTCAGCCACAATTGGATAACATGAGTAAACAGCACTACCATACACGTGCAGGCTATACGTTAACCCATGATACCTGAACAGTAAATGAAGCGTTCAGAAAGGCGTTGAGCCACTGTTCAGACTTGTCAGCAACCAGTTGTTCTGGTTCTTAGCTTATCTGCATTGTATTGAGGTTGCATGCAAGAGGTGACCCGCACAGGCGAACTAAATGAGTCAGTGTGTTGAGGTTTTGACTGATGCACATGCCATACACCAGTGTTTGGACCTTTTGGTTGCTTCATATTAATTGCTACAGGTGAAAACCACTCTTTTTCTCTATCCACTGATCAGTTTTGGGATATGTGGTTCATTTTACATGCCTCCTTTCAGACGAGTGGAAGAAAAACATCCAAAACTCACATTTTATTTTCTCATTGTTTTTGATTCTTATTAAGAGTCAGAAATGTCCACTTTAGTAGAATTTACATAGACAAACATTTACTATATTACATTTCCAATTTATGTAACATTCAATTCTAAATATGCTTTTTTTTATCTAAATAGTACTTCCCAATTTACTTGTTTTCTGAGTGATAAAAAGATATCCAAAGTCCCTTCTGTAAAAACCTGTATATGTCAACAAAATAAAACATGCACTTTGAACTTAGATTTATCTGATGTCCAGATTCTATTTTGTAATTAATGCATGCCTGATACAGCTTGTGCAATTTTATTTTAAAGTTCATTCCTTAAAACATGTAACATAAAACAACTGTTTTGCTTTACAATTTTTATGATTATTATTATTATTATTATTGTTGTTGTTGTTGTATTACAATCTGATTTACAAATTAGAGAAAAAAAGTAAAGTTGGTCTAAAGTAAAAATATATTTATGACAAGATAATCTTGTACAAAATAACAATTGACCATGACCATGCAATAAATATTTGCATATATAGTACAGTAAACTCTGTATAATCAAAGTGAAAACAGTCTGTCATCTGTGTGAACAAGGTCAAGTTTACTTTTCTTTTCAAAAGCTTATTTGAACTTCTTAAGTGTCTGTTTCATCTACAAAATTCTGTTGCTAATAACTTGTTCACATTTGTCCATGATTAAATGTTTTTTTATTGCCTAGTTAAAAAATAACAATGTTTTAGCAAAACAAAGTCAAAGTGTTTGCGTGTTTGTGTGAAAAATGCGTTGCCTGATGTATTCCTGACTTACTGTATGTTAATATTTAGCTTTTGAATATCTAACTTTACAGTTACTATGCTGAAGCAAAGCTTACAAATTTATAAAACCTATGATGAAACTTAAACCTATCCAGAAACATTGATATACATGAAACATATGGTTGATAAACCATCAAGAATATATATGATGACAAATACTACAGAAATCTATGCAGACTTACTGGCAAGTCAACCTGCCAGACACACCAAATGTTAACTAAAACATGACTTCAAAACCATGTCATTAATCATTTAACAAACTACAACATATGATAACTCTGATATGTACATATATGTTTTTTTAGTAAGTGGGTTACGCAATTCTGAGACTTTAATAAAGCAAAAAAGCGAGTTCTGGCTAACTAGCCTGTTTGGTTTACCTTGGTGTTTACGGGCCAGCTTCGAAGTTTCCCAGCGGTTGATCAAATATAGATACAGTCTTCGGACGTAAAGTTAAGTTGTTTTGAGACTCAAATGAGCTCATAGTCCGTCGGTTTACATCAGTTTTGTCATCGCCATGTCCCCTTGTCTCTTATTCCACACATGCTAACGTTAGGCTGAGGTTAGCACTAGCTAGCTTAAGGCTAACATGTTTTTGTTTTTTATTTTGTTGTACACTCTCACAAATTCGTCGTCAAAATGCTGCGAATAAAAAAGGTTTAAAATAGAAAACTGATGTTTTTTTCATCGCGGTTTTCTAAAACATCCATTCCGCTTTAGGGTCCAATAAGAATACGGATCAGGCAATGACCATCGCGCTGTTATTCCACACCAACTTTTGCTCAATCTGGTCTAGTAACTCCATTCACTTTGATTACTCGGTTGTCAGGGTTGACAGAAATAAAAGCTCTAGAAAAGACACGTTGTGCGGTATTAAAACTTACCAGTAGGGGTCGCTTCTTGGCCCAAAGTCATTTGTGAGTCTTTTCACTATATAAATCTAATCAAATTGCCGCAGTATTTTAACTAAGAGCATTAAGTAAATCCGCATCAGGAACCTATAAAACGCGCGTGGAAAATCGACGATTTATTAGCGTGAGCGCAACCAATTTTCCACAGCGCGGTTTGACGGATGACTTAATCACGTGGTCGGCTCTTCTCCAATGACAGCTCGAGTAGAGCGGCTTACTTCTGATTCTGTTTTCCTTTCTAGGTCTGTGTGGTTGACAGCTAGGGAGAAAAGCATGGCGTAATTTTTGAGTTACATAATGCATGTGGTCACTGGTCAGACTCGACTAACTTAGTAGAAGATGAATATTAATAACGACGCTCTATGAATCATAAATGTTATTAATTCCCAGCGAGGATTGGAATAAAAAATAGTTCAATAATGCTGTCATCTACTGGAAACTTCCTTGTTATAAACACCATTAAATGTCAGTAAAGACGATTAAATGTTTACCGTCCATAAGTTATGCTTTAACAAACAAGTCATTAAAACAGCTTTTAATCGACAACCTTAGTAGCAGGTCCAAAGTGTTCCTGTAGATGGCGCTAGTGGAGTATTTTTGTATTTATGAGTGTTTTCAGTCTATTAGCACAAATAACATAAAATGCTGACGAGGTAAAGATGTTGGACATTTGCCATGCGGACAGAGAATGTTTTGAGGAACTTAATAAAGGAACTAAAGCTTTAAGTGTTTAATAGAGCCAAGGATGTTGTGCACCTTAAGTCTGTCAGATTAGCTCTAATGATATATAATGTTCAGTGGATGGGTGTTTGCTTATGACTGACAGAATGAGTCTAAAATAGGCAGTGGGATGTTTTTTTAGATAGTCCTGCAAGTGGATATTTTAGTGTGTAACATGTGTTGCTCAATTCACAAAACAATAGCCTGTTGCACAACATGCAGCTCGAAAACATTTCCTTTACCCCGTTTTTTTATGTTTAGTTCTTACTAAACATTCAGCAAAACAAATGTATTAAAAATGTAACAACAGTGAAACTTTAGCTATCTCAAAACGTTCATTACATGTAAAAAAAGTTTAAACATCTTTATTGGAGTGAAAAAACGGGTTCAGGCTTATATATATCAGTCAAACAGTATGACTTATTTTTAAAATCAATGTTTTTCATGATCTTTGGTAATGGTTTGCTATTTTACCATATACGCAAAGTGTGCAAGTAGGTCTACGAATGCCTTGTGCTGATGTTTTTTTTTTTTTTTTTGTCTAAACGCCCCCTAGCCTGGACCATCAGCCCAGAAACAGCCATGCACGGACCGCGTAAGTAGCCTACATTTTGCTCTCAAATCTCTAATAGATTTCAGGTATTATGCAGCTTTTATCTGCTACATTGTTTTATGCAAGCTGCTGGGTTATTATACAAAGTTTGAAAAGAAGGAATTTGATTGTACGCGACACACACACACACACACACACACACACACACACACACACACACACACACACAACTGTTGAACTGTTTCAGGGGTGGAACTGAAACTATTGTTTTCTCGTAAAACATCAGATAAATGCCGATGATTTTGCAAAATCGTAAAGGAAGCTGGTTTAAATGTTTCGCAATTAACCATCCCTGTTTTCATTAACAGTTTAGAAGATTATTAAGAGTCATTCAAGGGGTTAAAAAGACCACAGTACTATTGAACGGCCACAAAAAAGGGAAGCAAGCGAGGTAAGTGGGACAAAAAAATTGGTCAAAATATTTATAATATATGACCTTAACGTTTGAATCTTTATTTATTTGCATGATTAAAACTCTTGCTTAAAAACCTGCGACAGCATTTGTTTGGAGTTGTTTTTATGCTGTTTTACTCACAGGCATTTCTGAATTTTGTGTACAAGTCCTGACACATTCAGAACCAAAGATATCATAACACAGATTCAGCCATGAATCCGAATTTGCTGTGGATTTTGCTTCTTGGGATTTATGTGCAGCAATCAGGTTGGATTTGTTATGCATAAACATTAAATAATAACTTACATTTTGTACCAAATTATAATGTTCCTTTATGCAGGAAATCAGAAAATACTGATTGATCATTGAGATAATTGAATAATACTATATATATATATATATATATATATACAAATATATATATATATATATATATATATATATATATATATATATATATATATATATATATATATATATATATATATATTTATTTATTTATTTATATATATAAAAATACTAATGAGACAACTGTTCAGTGATTTTGTGTCTTTCTGAAGCTTCACAGATGGTGCAGTGCTTTTCGGCATTTTCCATATCCACCGGGAAGTGTGCTGATCTGTTGGGTGAGACTGAAAAAGATTTTTGTTGCATAAACCCCAGCTATGGCTTCGCTGAAGCAGACGGAGTTTGTAGGAGCTGTGGGTAAGTTTCATTGATGTGTGACAAGAAATTCAAAACCTATCGCAATATGTGATTGAGCGTCTATGTTGATTATTAAAATGAAATACATCCAGTGTATGATTTTAAGGCGAGAATGCCTATTTGAAAGTATCATTTCCATGCATGGATTTTAACATTAAACATATTGAAGTCATCATGACGACGCGGTGGCGCAGTAGGTAGTGCTGTCGCCTCATAGAAGGTCACTGATTTGAGCCTTCGCTGGGTCAGTTGGTGTTTCTGTGTGGAGTTTCCATGTTCTCCCTGCGTGTAGTTCCCCCACATGCTCCGTTTTCCCCCACAAGTCCAAAGACATGCAGCACAGGTGAATTGGGTAAGCTAAATTGTCCGTAGTGTGTGTGTGAATGAGAGTGTATGGGTGTTCCCAGTGATGGGTTGCAGCTGGAAGGGCATCTGCTGTGTAACACATATGCTGGATAAGTTGGTGGTTCATTCTGCTGTGGTGACCCCAGATTAATAAACGAAATGAGACAAAAAGAAAATGAATAAATGTATGAATGAAGCATCATAAAGTATAATGCACTCTGTCAGTTTTGTAAATCATGTTTTGAAGTATATTTGCATGTACATATGCCCACCTTTTTAAAATCTAGTCTGTTGCTACATCATTTCATTGCAGCATTGGAATAATCAAATGGTGATAGTATAGACCATTTTGAGGAATGTAAACAAAACGGTCGCAACGTATTTCCTGTTTTACAATTCATATTTTTACAGCTTCCGAGAATCAAAAAAAGAGTCCAATATTTATATATAATGTTATGATTGCTGTTTTAACATTACGTTATGATTGAATTGCTTCTTGTTACAGTTATGAAATAGTTTGATAACAAGCAGGAAATGTTCTTGGCCCGATGACATGACCACAATAAAATGGTCTATTTTTGTTGCGTTTCTTTTTATTAGAGTCTTTAACCAATCACCCACAACTGCCGCTCACTGGATATTTTCTCTTTTTCGGACCATTTTCTTTAAACCCTAGAGATGGTTTTGCGTGAAAATCCCAGTAGATCAGCAGTTTCTGAAATACTCAGACCAGCCTGTCTGGCACCAACAACCATGTCATGTTCAAAGCCACTTGAATAAGCTTTCTTCCTCATTCTGAAGCTGGGTTTGAACTGCAGCAGAACGTCTTGATCATCTGTACATATTGTATGTGATGGGTGCATTTAAGTGGATATTTTTCACTTCAGAAAGCAATCATTAAAGGCATAGTTCACAATTTTTTTTTATTTACTTGCCATTTACTGGTTTTAAACCTTTTTGAGTTTTCTTCCGTAAAAACAAAAGAAGCTCTTATTTAAGAAAACTGAAAACCAGAAATCATTCACTTCCACTGTAAGAAAACAAATACTATGGAAGTCAATGGTAACAGGTTTCCAGTTTTCTTCAAAATATCTTCTTTTGTGTTCAACAGATGAAAGAAAGTCAAACAGGTATGAAACAAGTGAATGTTGAGTAAATCAATTTGGGTGAACTATCTTTTTAAACCACTTGAGTTGTACTTTTATGATAGATGATTGTACTTTTTGTAGTTTCAAAAATTCAGACAACCTTAGTCTGCCATTATAAACTGAGAAGAGCTAGAAGATTATTTAACGTAAGCCCTAATAGAAAAAAGGCTTAACAGCTAGAATGGGGAAACAGCTTTCATTTATTAGACTTAAATATAGCTCTTCAGGTGACTGAAATTATTGAACTGAGACAAATGAGATCAAACGAAGGATAAACCTTTTAGTGAAGTCTTCTATGTTGACTTGCAGGCATGCGGCATGGAGTGAATGGTCAAGCTGGAGCCAGTGCTCAGTCAGTTGTACTGAGGGAGTTACTCAAAGGCGACGGTTTTGTTACGGAAATGGTAGCTGTTCAGACCCTGAGGATTTAGGAACTATTCAAACCAAACCATGTGTAAAAAAAGACTGCTGCCCAGGTAAGAAGAACATTCATTGATTTACATTTGGTTTCTGTGGTCTTTCTCATGTTTTAAACATTTGTGTTTGTCCAGAGGACGGTGGCTGGTCTAAGTGGGGGAACTGGCAGCCATGTTCAGTAACGTGTGAAAATGGACAAAAAAAGAGGCAAAGAGCCTGTTCTAACCCGGCTCCAAAATGTGGAGGCTCCTGTTCTGGCGAACCGCAAGAAATTGAACCTTGTTCCGCTGACACAGTCTGTCCAAGTAAGTGTAAGTTTTCTTTGTTTCTTTATTTTTGAAGATGCTGGAAATGAAAGTCGTGCTTTCGTTTGATGTCTAGCTCACGGAGGGTGGTCCACCTGGGGAAATTGGGGTCGCTGCCCAGTTACTTGTATCGAGGAAGGACGTAACACCCAAAAAGAAGTTCGTACAAGGACGTGCACCAATCCCTCACCGTCCACCGCTCCACCTGGCAGATTTTGCGAGGGTTCCGAAAAAGACACCCGCCCTTGCAGTGGACTGCCTTTTTGCCCAAGTAATATGCTTTGTGTTCTAATACAACGCCACCCAAAATAACAAGAGAATTTTAGAAACCTAAGCTTTATGGATCTTCTCCACAGTCGATGGAAGCTGGGGCTCCTGGTCAGGTTCCTCAGCCTGCTCTGTGACTTGTGGAGTGGGCCGACAGATGCAGTCACGGATATGTGATTCTCCAAGCCCCAAACATGGCGGTAAACCATGTCATGGCGTAGAACAAAAATCTAGCCTTTGCAGCACTTTAGCCAAGTGTCCAAGTAAGTAGTGTACAAACAAAGTCTTATCCGAGCCATACTTTTTAATGCTTACATAAATGTGCAACCCAGCAGACACACAACATCATAAGATGTTAATATTAGGTTAGATTTAGGTTGCCAGCGTCTAAGGACAATATTTTTTGGACATCAAATAATGATGTGAAATGACGTTAATATTTGGTTGATTTTATATTGTGTTGGAAAGTAAACAAAATCTAACGTCAAGCCAACATCTTAGACCAACGTCATATTGAAGTCAAATACTGACATTTATTTGTCAGGTATGGCAACTAAAATCCAGCATCTGATAGACGTCATAGTGGTAACATCTACACAACGTCAAGCTGTAACATCATTAGACGTTGATGTTTTGTATTTTAGGTTGTGTTGGAAAGTGACTATAATGCAACGTCTGTTTGATGTTGGACATGGACATGGGCCTGACGTTGGGTTCTGACATCAACCCGATTTTCATTTCCAAACAAAATGCAACATCCCACGACGTTGGGGTACAACGTCAATATAATATTATGTTGACGTTTTGTGCCTGCTGGGAAGAACCTAAAATAAGAACCATTTTTTTAAAAAAAGAACCACAAAATGACATTGGGTGACAAAGTATATATATTTTTAATAGAACAAAATATTAAAAGTTGAAAGTACACAGACACGTAATATAGAAGCAAGTGTAAAACACAAGCTCCAACTCAAGCCTACTGTAAGTCGCCCAACAATAATTGAACATTAAATACTAGTTAAAATACCAATAGCAGCAAAGAATACGTGTTCTTGATTTGCTACAAACCAACTTTACATTTCAGCAATTATTTTGCAGAAATATCAGTATATTTGCCTTCTGCAAAGCCAGACTTGGTCCAGTCATGTACCGTAATTTAATGCGGCATGTGGGCCAAGCAAAGGCAAATTGTGTGGGGCAGAGATGGGCCAAAAATATTTTGCTATGTGGGAAGCATAAACAAAACATGGTATAGAAATGTGCAGCGGCTGAGCTGTTTGGAAGCATTTTCGAGAAAACTGTGCAATATTTGGAGAACAGTGATTCTGAAAGATGCATCACATAATTTGCGTTCTGATATTAGCGATAATAATAAAGTTTCATTTTAGAAACAGGGACCTAAAATCTGCGGTAACTTCGATATTACCGGTGAAACTTTTCGCTAAAGTAAATGTTAGCAAGCCCTTTTAACTGTGTTTTACAGTGAATATAGCTTAAGTTACACTCGCGTCAAGCTGCATAAACTGTTCTGAAATACAGTTACAGCAGGCAGGTACAGCATACATAGATAATATTAAACAACTAAACATCAGACCTTCGGTTCCCTTCTTTTTAGGGAAGCAGAAAGTTGCGTCTGAATTGCTCTCTTAGACATTTTGAAAACCGCATAAAACGATCCAATAAACTGTTTTGTGCTAGGTGCCTTAAAGGGGTGGTCCAGAATGCTATTTTTAAGGCTTGGTTGTGTTAATAAGATGCAAAGCAATGTGTGCTCATGTTTAACTTGAAGGAAATCGTGTTATTTTTTCATAAATCTCACTTTGATTATACACAGCTACTCAGCTAACATGAAAACGACTGTCATATTTCCTAGTTTCTCTAAAAGGCCCACCCTCAAGTGACTCTGATTGGTCATCATCATAATATGCTGTGATTCGCCGATCGGCTCCACGTCACGCCCTGACAAGCACGCGCGTTTTGTGTAAACAGTCAGTCAGTCAGTCAGTCAACACGTGTCTGTAACGAGTGAAAATGGGATGCGGCTCCTTTAACTGTTTCTGTGCCTTTTAGTGTGTTTATGCGTGTATACGATGAAGTATCTGTAACACGAGAAGCGCATGTGCGCGGGAGAGATTTTTATTGTTCTTTTTCTCTCATGCTCGGATTAAGTTATTTTCTATGGTGACAGAATAAAGCACAAGATGTGAGATGAGACCTTTGTGAGCCTGGATTGATTTGTTTTTGATGTTACACTCCAGTTGGGAAATCATTGCTGTATTTTTTTTTTTTAAATCAACGCGTTACAGGACGTCTTTCATGCATATGCGGAATATGCCTGTGTAAGTAACATGAATCGTTCACATATCTTTTGCGACTTTATTGTCCGAGTTGTAAAACGCATAGCAAAGCTGCCTATAGAGAGAAACTCTGCCGTCTCCCACAGAGAGACGCAGGTGCTGGCCAAGAGTGCGTGTATGTGTATGTGTGTGTGTGCGTTTACAGCCGTTTGATAAATATGGATTTGTAACGTTAGCTAAGTCGTTAGCGGTTACCATAATTTCCCGTTGTTTACATCTTTGCTACAACACACCGTTAAAGTTAGACACTGTACATGTCATGATCAATTTTAACAAATAAAAACACTTACAGGTCATGACTCAGAGTTCACAGCGTCTCCTTGCTCCATCTTTGAGGAGATTTTAACTGAATCCAGCACTGAACTGGGAGAGATTCTGGAAGCTGTGTTTTGTCAAATCATGCTTGCTATGTATTTTATAGTTCTCTGGAACATAATTAATATTGAACTGTAAGCACTTCTGTGTTTGGGTCGTGTCATTTGGAAGCCCAACAACAGAAACAGAACAGCTCTGTGGAAACAGCAGGATGGCATTTCTCTCTCTGCAGTAACGTTACAGCGCCTATAGCCACGGCCTTTACCTGCGCAGTGTGGGATGCGCAATAACGAACTTTTGTGATCTCACAGGGGGCGGAAGTATTTTTTGTAGTCCCCAAAATTCGTTAATTGTAGGCGTTGCTAAGCTAACTCTGTACAAATCAAGGTCTCCCTTTGCATTAAACTTTGAATATTTTACATTCAGAGATGCTGTTTATGTTCACACAGCTACATTACACATCAACTGAAGTTTAAAATATAATATCGTAGTGGACCACCCCTTTAAGACAATACTGAGTTCTGATCGGTCAATCGTCGTTGTTTGTAAGTCATAAATTAACATAAATAGAAAATTTGAATATATATAATTTGCATGATAAGTTTTACATTACACTCACTTTTGTTAATCGGTGGTTTTACAATGGGGATGCTTTTTGTCAATTCAAGCGCTGGTTATAAATTGACCTTAGAGTATTAGAAAATACATTAATGCGTTCATAACTCATAATTCATAACCATTTTCTCCCTCTTTTTGTCTGCCAGTACATGGGAGGTGGACAGAATGGAGTGAGTGGAGTATTTGTAAATCGCAATCCACTAGAAAAATCACATGCAGAACCAGGGAGGGAACCCGAAGGAAATTACGGGACTGTGTTGGTACAGAACACGAAGGAAAACTCTGCGATGGAGAAATTGTTGAACATGGCAGCTGCTTTGACATTGATAAGTGTGATAGTAAGTGCCAAGAAAAAGCACTAATTTTCACAATCACTAAAATCACAAATTTTGTCTAATACATTTAAAAAAAACAAACAGTACAAACCATTTAAAAATTGTATATATATATATATATATATATATATATATATATATATATATATATATATATATATACATATATACATATATATATATATATATATATATATATATATATATATATATATATATATACATACAATTAATAATAATGTGGAAACAAGCAAAAAATAACTAATTAAAAACATGATTATATAAGATTTAAAGGGCACCTCTGATGTAAATCAACTTTAGTAAGCTGTTTGGACAGAACTGTGTGTAGGTATAGTGTGTCCACACTAATATTGGAGTAATATAAACACAACAAGTCTCTTTTTTTATTATATTTTATTTCCTGACGTTAAAATAGGGCCCAAATCCCAGTGATTTTGAGGCCCACCGCAACGTGAGGTAGGAGTGTGGTTTTCCCTGCCCACTGAATTGAATGACAGGCGCCATATTTCTATAATAACATGTATACTCATGTCCAAAGAAACAGATTAAAATATTTGTTCCAACTCTCTATGATTTTTTTCACAGTTTTATACGTTTAAAATGTTTTTAAAACGGAGCATGTTTGTAATAAAAGAGTAAAATCACAAAATCTTAACTGCTATAATCACCACGGCTGCATAGTGTCAGTAAACGCTAATATGTGTGTTTGTAGGTGTGTACTGTAAACGGCATGTGTGGGAGACTCATCATTTCAGAACGGCTTGAATAAACTCCACCACAAATACATGAAGTACACTTACTTGGTATTTTTGACTAATGGGCTATATCAGCTTCATCTGTGTCCGTCTCTATTACTGACTGCTGTTTATCCACTGTGACGCATGAGAAGCAAACATGAATGGTGGGCAGGGAGAAGCAGCCACAGGCTATAAAAACAGCTACACTGTACTCAGACAGCAAAATAAGCAGATTGTGGAGGCTATAATAAATGATCTGATAGGTATTTTGAGCTGAAACTTTACAGACACATTCTGGTGGTACCAAAGGCTTGTCTTACATCTTGTAAAAGGGGTAAAATAGTTGTCCTTTTAGAGAAGATTCAAAATATTTGTTTATGGGTTGTATAAATAGGTAATTCTTCAACTACAGGCACTTTTATGTCCTTTGATCAAATATCCAAAAATATATTTAATTTGTTCAAATTTCACTTTCTTTATCAAACTAACAATAAAATGTACTTTAAAAAGATTTACTAGCTTTCTATTATGTATTTTTCATATTATTCAAACTCCTTTTAGGTGTTAAAATCACTGTTTTCACCTTGTTGCACACCCAGAGTTTTAAACTTCAACAATGAAAATAACATTTTAAAATATTATTCATCTGGTATCTATTAATGTGTCTTAATTATAAGTATCTTAGCTCCAGTGAAATATTTTATAGTTATTAATGTGAGACTATTATCAATATTATTTTTATACAAAATATAGCTGTCACACAGTATCAGTGTCATTTCCACCACAACACTGTAATGTCGCCTAAAATGTTCATGTCAATGAAAATGAACAGTGTCATCTAAGAACATGTTCAAGATGGAGGGAATTAAAATTTTTATCAACAACACTTGAAGAAAAATCAAGGTAAATATTGCTTGATAAGGAAACACATTTATTCTACGTCATTTTCAAACATGTTGTACCTTAAAAAATGTTTTAAAAACCAAACAAAATTAAGGTAAGATAAGAGTGTTGTGTACATGTAGGATCAATTCAAAGATAATCGGTGAAGCTATTTTTCATTTTTTCACAATAAACTGTTGAAATGTCATTTCCACCACTGTCATTTCCATCACCACACACAAAATTCTCATCACACATTAAAAGTGTATTCACAATGTGTAAGTTTATGTTCTATTTAATATACAAATTCAGTTTATTTCATTCTAATAAGCTCTTAACCAAACTAATATTAAATTTCAGAGAGTGACAGGTGTACAATTCAGCATACAACTAATTTATTTAATTGACCATTTATTTCATGTGTCCACTGAAAATCATTAAGGTACAATCCCTTTTGTTAATTAAACACTATTAACATATTACTCTTTTGATGTAATGATGTTTGGATACTGTAGTACAGAATTAGGACAGAGCATCAGAATTTGCAATATTTCATAAATTGAATATGATTGCATTTTAAGCTAATTATTCAAATCGCTGAATGATGGTATTAGAAGATGATTGTTCCTAGTTTAAGATCGTAAACTCCACTTCCAAATTGATAACACTTTCTGTCTGTGTTCAGTGGAAGCTATCTTGTCCGAGTGGAGCGAGTGGAGTTACTGCAAACCTGACTGTGGGCAAGACTCCAAACAAACCAGAAGCAGAAAGTGTGTTCCTGACATTTCTGAATACCAGTAAGAGAGGAAAAACATCTTCACGTCCACTACATGCGTACTGTTGGTTGCCAAGTGTTTCATGATGTATTTACGTTTTATTTGGTGTTTCTGATCTGCCATAGATCCGATGACTACAGTCTTTTCTATGGGAAGCCTGTCATTAATTGTGAGAAAGTGAAGGATGAAACCGAAACAAGACCATGCAAAAATGTGCCTCAGTGCTAAGACAAGGTTGTAATATAATTCTGAAAGCACATGTGTTTTAGCTAATTGAAGGAAATTATTATTATTAATATTATAATCTTAACTATAATTATCATTTATATTAAACATAAATAGATTTATTTAACTATAATTATAATTTCTAATCTTAATATTTGTTCAGTTTTTCAGGATGACTAAGCACAGAAGATGGTGAAGATAAGAGGACCAGTAGCTGTAGATGGTAAACTCTTCTGCAGGAGGAAGAACCTTTAAGGGATAGTTCACCAAAGATGACAATTTATTCACTATTTACTCTTCTTCAAGTGGTTCCAAAATGTGTTTTAGAGTTTTTCTTCTGATGCACAAGAAAGATAATATTTTGAAGAAAGTTGAAAACGCATTCATTGTAGGAAAACAAATACCACGGAAGTTAAAGGTGCAGTAGGTGATCAGCCTAAATGCCATCTGTTAGCATATTATCTTCGAAAACATAATCCCTTCCCTGCCGTCCAAGGCCACGCCACCTAAATTTACAAGCGCACACATTACAGATGAGAGAGACCCACTAGATCATGTCATTCGCCAGTTAGAATACTTTATAGTACTTTACTATGGTAATACTACAATCCGAATAGAAAAACTGTACTACATCTAGCATGTTTGTAATTGTGTAGCTAGCAAAACTTGTCATAATGTGCTATAGTTCATGCAGGCAAGTAGAGATATGCGCAGGACTGAATCTTTAGTCCCTCTCCCGCTAGGTTTTATTCCATACCTGACCGCTCCCGCTGTATGTTCAGCCTTTGTTCACCCTCTGCCCACTCTTTCCCGCCCCGTTTTCTACCCGACCAGAATGTTCCCACTAAATTTAGTTCTGGTTCCCAAAATCTCATGTTACAATTAGGCACTACCAAAAGAGAGATAACAGATAAAAGTGTGGGCTGTCCAAGTATTGTTGGCTAAATGTCAGTTTTGTTTGCCCAATTGTGATGAGACTTGAGTGCCTTGAGGTTTGTTTCTGGTGGACTCTTTCAAGGTCAGATACACAAACATATCCACTCAATATATTTGCCAATTACAGATTGTGTTTCATATATCAAATCTGGATTATTTTCAACACACATAGCAGGTATAATTGGGACAAGGAAAAATGTTAAATGTAGAGCGATTAAATAAGCTGGATGCTACAGAGTCCAGACAGCCTATTATAAGTGACACACATCCGCCCGGTGGATGTGCTCGCTCTCTCTCTCTCGCGCTCACTTTCTCTTTCTCTGGGAATTCTATATTCTTAGATCGCCCGCTCCCGTTCAAATTAAACGAGTTACTGACCGCTACTCCATTTTATTCTCAGGTTTCTAAGTTTCCGCGTCACAAGAAATCTAGTCTGGTCCCGTGGCTCCTGTGGTACAGGCGCAGGAATGCAGACCTCTACATGCAAAGATTGCTGCTCTCACTCTCTCACGCGCTTTGTTCTAAAGCGACTACTTAGAGGTTGGCCAGCAGACTGCAGGAATTACACTTATTTCTAAGCCATACGTACATACTATTTCATGCCGGACATTCAGAGTAGCATGCTGAACAATATAGGGAGTGCGTCACAGGTTGTCATTGTTCAAAAATGAACCAATGCGAATATAAAACCAACTTCACCTCAGTAAAGCAGGCTAATCTACATTATCGATGCTGTAAAAGGTCCCTTATGAAACTGAAAATAGACACATCAATCCTTTGCCGGAAGATTTCAGTGGCTGAACAACACTTCTGTGCATTTATCCTATTTGTAAAACAACACAGCACTACCATACACGTGCAGGCTATACGTTAACCCATGATACCTGAACAGTAAATGAAACGTTCAGAAAGGCGTTGAGGCACTGTTCAGACTTGTCAGCAACCAGTTGTTCTGGTTCTTAGCTTATCTGCATTGTATTGAGGTTGCATGCAAGAGGCGACCCGCACAGGCGAACTAAATAAGTCAGTGTGTTGAGGTTTTGACTGATGCACATGCCATACACCAGTGTTTGGACCTTTTGGTTGCTTCATATTAATTGCTACAGGTGAAAACCACTCTTTTTCGCTATCCACTGATCAGTTTTGGGATATGTGGTTAATTTTACATGCCTCCTTTCAGACGAGTGGAAGAAGAACATCCAAAACTCACATTTTATTTTCTCATTGTTTTTGATTCTTATTAAGAGTTAGAAATGTCCACTTTAGTAGAATTTACATAGACAAACATTTACTATATTACATTTCCAATTTATGTAACATTCAATTCTAAATATGCTTTTTTTTATCTAAATAGTACTTCCCAATTTACTTGTTTTCTGAGTGATAAAAAGAAATCCAAAGTCCCTTCTGTAAAAACATGTATATATCAACAAAATAAAACATGCATTTTGAACTTAGATTTATCTGATGTCCAGATTCTATTTTGTAATTAATGCATGCCTGATACAGCTTGTGCAATTTTATTTTAAAGTTCATTCCTTAAAACATGTAACATAAAACAACTGTTTTGCTTTACAATTTGTATAATTATTATTATTATTATTGTTGTTGTTGTATTACAATCTGATTTACAAATTAGAGAAAAAAAGTAAAGTTGGTCTAAAGTAAAAATATATTTATGACAAGATAATCTTGTACAAAATAACAATTGACCATGACCACGCAATAAATATTTGCATATATAGTACAGTAAACTCTGTATAATCAAAGTGAAAACAGTCTGTCATCTGTGTGAACAAGGTCAAGTTTACTTTTCTTTTCAAAAGCTTATTTGAACTTCTTAAGTGTCTGTTTCATCTACAAAATTCTGTTGCTAATAACTTGTTCACATTTGTCCATGATTAAATGTTTTTTTATTGCCTAGTTAAAAAAATAACAATGTTTTAGCAAAACAAAGTCAAAGTGTTTGCGTGTTTGTGTGAAAAATGCGTTGCCTGATGTATTCCTGACTTACTGTATGTTAATATTTAGCTTTTGAATATCTAACTTTACAGTTACTATGCTGAAGCAAAGCTTACAAATTTATAAAACCTATGATGAAACTTAAACTGATCCAGAAACATTGATATACATGAAACATATGGTTGATAAGCCATCAAGAATATATATGATGACAAATACTACAGAAATCTATGCAGACTTACTGGCAAGTCAACCTGCCAGACACACCAAATGTTAACTAAAACATGACTTCAAAACCATGTCATTAATCATTTAACAAACTACAACATATGATAACTCTGATATGTACATATATGTTTTTTTAGTAAGTGGGTTACGCAATTCTGAGACTTTAATAAAGCAAAAAAGCGAGTTCTGGCTAACTAGCCTGTTTGGTTTACGGGCCAGCTTCGAAGTTTCCCAGCGGTTGATCAAATATAGATACAGTCTTCGTACGTAAAGTTAAGTTGTTTTGAGACTCAAATGAGCTCATAGTCCGTCGGTTTACATCAGTTTTGTCATCGCCATGTCCCCTTGTCTCTTATTCCACACATGCTAACGTTAGGCTGAGGTTAGCACTAGCTAGCTTAAGGCTAATATGTTTTTGTTTTTTATTTTGTTGTACACTCTCACAAATTCGTCGTCAAAATGCTGCGAATAAAAAAAGGTTTAAAATAGAAAACTGATGTTTTTTTCATCGCGGTTTTCTATAACATCCATTCCGCTTTAGCAGTGGCGCAAAAAGGGGGTATGCAGTGTATGCGGCGCATAGGGGCGCCACTCATGGGGGGGCGCCATTGTGCCAAAACTATTTTTGAAATTATACATATTATTATACATATTAAACAAAATAAATACATATTTTTGGTTAAAAATGTTTATCCTGCATTTTATATAAATATTCAATTGTATTTTATTGAATAAAAAAATTATACCACCCCTTCCTCTTCATTGACCATTTGATTGATCCGTTGCTTGGTTACAGTCACATGTTCAAAATGGAGAGAAGAGTAAAGAGACGTGGAGCGCAAAATAGAAAAACAAAAAGAACACAAACAATGCCTTAAAAAAAACTGCCACGACAAATTGGATAATAAGGAATTGGTAAGCTTAAGCTTAATATTACCACACTTTTAATCAACTTGTAATGTTTTTGGGAGCGACGGGCTGCCATATCATTAATTATTCATTATCGCCACTCAGTCACTGCATGGGCTTTTACTTAACGTAAATGCAGACAAGGTGGTTTTGTCCAGGCAGGGGACAGTGACGCACGGCCACACCTGAACAGCGTCCGAAATCGCATATTTGCATCCTGTATAGTATGCGAAAAACACTATAATTCTATGGGCTAAAGCCATGATGAGCTGGTGTAAAGTTAACTTTATGGTAAAGGCTTTTGACAGTCGTAAATTCATGGACCGTCAGCTTCAAAAGAGAACATTTTTATTTACTGCATTTAAATATTGATTACAGTTGCTATAGTTTAAAGAGCAACAAATGAATTTAGTTTGATCCTCTGTTTTGTTTGATAACAGAGGTGCGAGTCTGACTTTAAGAATGCAATGAAAACATTTGTTTTGTTTATGCTAATTTAAGATAATATTACTTGTGTTTCAAATAAAACATGTTTACATATTATTGTGTATATTTTTTCTATTTACACACCTGAATCTTAAAGTATCCGCTCTCATTCATCTTCAAATCGCGTGTATAAAAGCCGTCTTTATCACTATGGAGCGCCTCCGTCACTCAGCACCGTTCTACTGATTCAGAGGCTGCATAAGGGCGGCAAAAGACGCATAAAGCTTTACTGGAAAGGACGTGAATGCGGCCGTTTTTACATTAATTTTAACGTGCTGTCAATCAAAATAATGTGAAAGCTTAGTTCTCTTTAACAGTTTTGCATCACATTTGAGATCGGCTCTGTGCAGCTGCTACTTTCACTTTTCATAGAAACATTACAAATGCGGGAGAAATACTGGAAAAACACACACGAAAGACAGCGGATAGAATGGTAAAATATGGTAGAATTAATATGGCAAAAACGAGAGGATTTGTAGGTATGAATTGCATTCGTTGGCACATACATTTTAATTCAAAATCATTTAAAACAACATGCAGTCACGCATCCAAGTGTAAAGTTCATGTAAAAGTTTTATCAAAATAAACTGTCAAATCATACTTACAGTTGAGCTCAAAAGGTATGAGTAATGTGAAACATTCTATTATTAATTGATTATTTAGCAAAAAATAAGAGGGATCACACAAAATGTATGTTTAAAACCTAAATATTAGGGCCAGACAGAATCTGCAAACATTTTTTGCTATTTCTGCTGAGAATTACAGGCAGAAAATACTACTTTACCAACTGTATTGTAAATAAATCATATGAACATTTTAATATTAATATTATTATATCACAATAATATTAGTGAAATGAATTTGAATACTGAGTAAATATAAATGTACACAAATTTACACAAATAGATTCAATGATGGGCTAAAAATCTGTAGAAAACTGCAGATGTCTGCGCACGCAGACTCCGTGTGGGACTCTATACTGAATTTATTTTAGGCGAAATAGACAATAATACATGGATTAAAAAATTCCCCTATAAAAATTTTAGATATCTAATTATAGTGATTTTTAACCCTGTTAAAACTATAGTCAGAATATTCAAATTTTTTGCAACTGTCATATTTATTAATCCCATCCAGATCCATTTTTATACCCTATACATGTTTTTTATAAATTAATTATGTATCATATTGATACATCAGGCCTTTTGGTAACTTTTTCTGCTCAAAACTAGTTCAATTTAGTTCCCAAAAAGTTTGCCTATAACATTTTTATCAAATAAAACATTTCAGGCAGTTTGTCTCTATTTTTTTAACTAAACATTGTACAGTCTTTTTTATTTCACTTTGTAAAAGGTGTGATAGCAGTTTCAGTCAATTGTTCATGTGAAGACAGACCTTACACCTCTCGCATATGCATGTGAGAAGTTTTTGCATTTTTAAGTTCTTTTGCCCTTTACGACTCCCATATCTTTCATTTTGTTTTGACAAATGTACAAAAAGAAACAAAAACAAGACATGTCAAGGTGCTATAATCATTTGGTGAGGAAAATGGAATTAAGAAGAAATTTGGGTTGGGATGAAATGTAATTCTTTGTGACTTAACATGCTTAATGTAATTATACTTTTACTACTTCATACTATTTCAGTTGCGTTCAGAACTTCGACATGTCGATGAGGAAATTAATATGGTGGGGCGCAAAACTTGAACTCGCATACCCCTCAGTAAATGTGCAGTTGCGCCCCTGCGCTTTAGGATCCAATAAGAAGACGGATCAGGCAAAGATCATCGCGCTGTTATTCCACACCAACTTTTGCTCAATCTGGTCTAGTAACTCCATTCACTTTGATTACTCGGTTGTCAGGGTTGACAGAAATAAAAGCACTAGAAAAGCACGTTGTGCGGTATTAAAACTTACCAGTAGGGGTCACTTCTTGGCCCAAAGTCATTTGTGAGTCTTTTCACTATAGAAATCTAATTAAATTGCCGCAGTATTTTAACTAAGAGCATTGACTAAATCCGCATGAGGAACTTATAAAACGCGCGTGGAAAATCAACGATTTATTAGCGTGAGCGCAACCAATTTTCCACAGCGCGGTTTGACGGATGACCTAATCACGTGGTCGGCTCTTCTCCAATGACAGCTCGAGTAGAGCGGCTTACTTCTGATTCTGTTTTCCTTTCTAGGTCTGTGTGGTTGACAGCTAGGGAGAAAAGCATGGCGTAATTTTTGAGTTACATAATGCATGTGGTCACTGGTCAGACTCGACTAACTTAGTAGAAGATGAATATTAATAACGACGCTCTATGAATCATAAATGTTATTAATTACTGGAATAAAAAAATAGTTCAATAATGCTGTTATCTACTGGAAACTTCCTTGTTATAAACACCAGTAAATGTCAGTAAAGACGATTAAATGTTTACCGTCCATAAGTTATGCTTTAACAAACAAGTCATTAAAACAGCTTTTAATCGACAACCTTAGTAGCAGGTCCAAAGTGTTCCTGTAGATGGCGCTAGTGGAGTATTTTTGCATTTATGAGTGTTTTCAGTCTATTAGCACAAATAACATAAAATGCTGACGAGATAAAGATGTTGGACATTTGCCATGCGGACAGAGAATGTTTTGAGGAACTAAATAAAGGAACTAAAGCTTTAAGTGTTTAATAGAGCCAAGGATGTTGTGCACCTTAAGTCTGTCAGATTAGCTCTAATGATATGTAATGTTCAGTGGATGGGTGTTTGCTTTGGACTGACAGAATGAGTCTAAAATAGGCAGTGGGATGTTTTTTTAGATAGTCCTGCAAGTGGATATTTTAGTGTGTAACATGTGTTGCTCAATTCACAAAACAATAGCCTGTTGCACAACATGCAGCTCGAAAACATTTCCTTTACCCCGTTTTTATGTTTAGTTCTTAACTAAACATTCAAACAAATGTATTAAAAATGTAACAACAGTGAAACTTTAGCTATCCCAAAACGTTCATTACATGTAAAAAAAAAAGTTAAAACATCTTTATTGGAGTGAAAAAACGGGTTCAGGCTTATATATATCAGTCAAACAGTATGACTTATTTTTAAAATCAATGTTTTTCATGATCTTTGGTAATGGTTTGCTATTTTACTATATACGCAAAGTGTGCAAGTAGGTCTACGAATGCCTTGTGCTGATGTTTTTTTTTTTGTTTTTTTTGTCTAAACGCCCCCTAGCCTGGACCATCAGCCCAGAAACAGCCATGCACGGACCGCGTAAGTAGTCTACATTTTGCTCTCAAATCTCTAATAGATTTCAGGTATTATGCAGCTTTTATCTGCTACATTGTTTTATGCAAGCTGCTGGGTTATTATACAAAGTTTGAAGAGAAGGGATTTGATTGTACTCGACACACACACACACACACACACACACACACACACACACACACACAACACTGTTGAACTGTTGAACTGTTTCAGGGGTGGAACTGAAACTATTGTTTTCTCGTAAAACATCAGATAAATGCCGATGATTTTGCAAAATCGTAAAGGAAGCTGGTTTAAAAGTTTCGCAATTAACCATCCCTGTTTTCATTAACAGCTTAAAAGATTATTAAGAGTCATTCAAGGCAGGGTTAAAAAGACCACAGTACTATTGAACGGCCACAAAAAAGGGAAGCAAGCGAGGTAAGTGGTGCAAAAAAATTGGTCAAAATATTTATAATATATGACCTTAACGTTTGAATCTTTATTTATTTGCATGATTAAAACTCTTGCTTAAAAACCCGCGACAGCATTTGTTTGGAGTTGTTTTTATGCTGTTTAACCAGGCATTATTTACGCTGTTTTACTCACAGGTATTTCTGAATTTTGTGTACAGACACATTCAGAACCAAAGATATCATAACACAGATTCAGCCATGAATCTGAATTTGCTGTGGATTTTGCTTCTTGGGATTTATGTGCAGCAATCAGGTTGGATTTGTTATGCATAAACATTAAATAATAACTTACATTTTGTACCAAATTATAATATTCCTTTATGCAGGAAATCAGAAAATACTGATTGATCATTGAAACAATTGAATAATACTATTTTTTTAAATATAAAAACCAATAAATACCAATGAAACAACTGTTCAGTGATTTGGTGTCTTTCTGAAGCTTCACAGATGGTGCAGTGCTTTTCAGCATTTTCCATATCCACCGGGAAGTGTGCTGATCTGTTGGGTGAGATTGAAAAAGATTTTTGTTGCATAAACCCCAGCTATGGCTTCGCTGAAGCAGACGGAGTTTGTAGGAGCTGTGGGTAAGTTTCATTGATGTGTGACAAGAAATTCAAAACCTATCGCAATATGTGATTGAGCGTCTATGTTGATTATTAAAATGAAATACATCCAGTGTATGATTTTAAGGCAAGAGTGCTATTTTGAAAATATAATGTCCATGCATGGATTTTAACATTAAACATATTGAAGTCATCATGACGACGCGGTGGCGCAGTAGGTAGTGCTGTCGCCTCATAGAAGGTCACTGATTTGAGCCTCCGCTGGGTCAGTTGGTGTTTCTGTGTGGAGTTTCCATGTTCTCCCTGCGTGTAGTTCCCCCACATGCTCCGTTTTCCCCCACAAGTCCAAAGACATGCAGCACAGGTGAATTGGGTAAGCTAAATTGTCCGTAGTGTATGTGTGTGAATGAGAGTGTATGGGTGTTCCCAGTGATGGGTTGCAGCTGGAAGGGCATCTGCTGTGTAACACATATGCTGGATAAGTTGGTGGTTCATTCTGCTGTGGTGACCCCAGATTAATAAACGAAATGAGACAAAAAGAAAATGAATAAATGTATGAATGAAGCATCATAAAGTATAATGCACTCTGTCAGTTTTGTAAATCATGTTTTGAAGTATATTTGCATGTACATATGCCCACCTTTTTAAAATCTAGTCTGTTGCTACATCATTTCATTGCAGAATTGGAATAATCAAATGGTGATAGTATAGACCATTTTGAGGAATGTAAACAAAACGGTCGCAACGTATTTCCTGTTTTACAATTCATATTTTTACAGCTTCCGAGAATCAAAAAAAGAGTCCAATATTTATATATAATGTTATGATTGCTGTTTTAACATTAAGTTATGATTGAATTGCTTCTTGTTACAGTTATGAAATAGTTTAATAACAAGCAGGAAATGTTCTTGACCCGATGACATGACCACAATAAAATGGTCTATTTTTGTTGCGTTTCTTTTTATTAGAGTCTTTAACCAATCACCCACAACTGCCGCTCACTGGATATTTTCTCTTTTTCGGACCATTTTCTTTAAACCCTAGAGATGGTTTTGCATGAAAATCCCAGAAGATCAGCAGTTTCAGAAATACTCAGACCAGCCTGTCTGGCACCAACAACCATGTCATGTTCAAAGCCACTTGAATAAGCTTTCTTCCTCATTCTGAAGCTGGGTTTGAACTGCAGCAGAACGTCTTGATCATCTGTACATATTGTATGTGATGGTTTGATTTAAGTGGATATTTTTCACTTCAGAAAGCATTCATTAAAGGCATAGTTCACAATTTTTTTTATTTACTTGCCATTTACTGGTTTTAAACCTTTTTGAGTTTTCTTCCGTAAAAACAAAAGAAGCTCTTATTTAAGAAAACTGAAAACCAGAAATCATTCACTTCCACTGTAAGAAAACAAATACTATGGAAGTCAATGGTAACAGGTTTCCAGTTTTCTTCAAAATATCTTCTTTTGTGTTCAACTGATGAAAGAAAGTCAAACAGGTATGAAACAAGTGAATATTGAGTAAATCAATTTGGGTGAACTATCTTTTTAAACCACTTGAGTTGTACTTTTATGATAGATGATTGTACTTTTTGTAGTTTCAAAAATTCAGACAACCTTAGTCTGCCATTATAAACTGAGAAGAGCTAGAAGATTATTTAACGTAAGCACTAATAGAAAAAAGGCTTAACAGCTTTCATTTATTAGACTTAAATATAGCTCTTCAGGTGACTGAAATTATTGAACTGAGACAAATGAGATCAAACGAAGGATAAACCTTTTAGTGAAGTCTTCTATGTTGACTTGCAGGCATGCGGCATGGAGTGAATGGTCAAGCTGGAGCCAGTGCTCAGTCAGTTGTACTGAGGGAGTTACTCAAAGGCGACGGTTTTGTTACGGAAATGGTAACTGTTCAGACCCTGAGGATTTAGGAACTATTCAAACCAAACCATGTGTGAAAAAAGACTGCTGCCCAGGTAAGAAGAACATTCATTGATTTACATTTGGTTTCTGTGGTCTTTCTCATGGTTCTAAACATTTATGTTTGTCCAGAGGACGGTGGCTGGTCTAAGTGGGGGAACTGGCAGCCATGTTCAGTAACGTGTGAAAATGGACAAAAAAAGAGGCAAAGAGCCTGTTCTAACCCGGCTCCAAAATGTGGAGGCTCCTGTTCTGGCGAACCGCAAGAAATTGAACCTTGTTCCGCTGACACAGTCTGTCCAAGTAAGTGTAAGTTTTCTTTGTTTCTTTATTTTTGAAGATGCTGGAAATGAAAGTCGTGCTTTCGTTTGATGTCCAGCTCACGGAGGGTGGTCCACCTGGGGAAATTGGGGTCGCTGCCCAGTTACTTGTATCGAGGAAGGACGTAACACCCAAAAAGAAGTTCGTACAAGGACGTGCACCAATCCCTCACCGTCCACCGCTCCACCTGGCAGATTTTGCGAGGGTTCCGAAAAAGACACCCGCCCTTGCAGTGGACTGCCTTTTTGCCCAAGTAATATGCTTTGTGTTCTAATACAACGCCACCCAAAATAACAAGAGAATTTTAGAAACCTAAGCTTTATGGATCTTCTCCACAGTCGATGGAAGCTGGGGCTCCTGGTCAGGTTCCTCAGCCTGCTCTGTGACTTGTGGAGTGGGCCGACAGATGCAGTCACGGATATGTGATTCTCCAAGCCCCAAACATGGCGGTAAACCATGTCATGGCATAGAGCAAAAATCTGGCCTTTGCAGGACTTTAGCCAAGTGTCCAAGTAAGTAGTGTACAAACAAAGTCTTATCCGAGCCATACTTTTTAATGCTTACATAAATGTGCAACCCAGCAGACACACAACATCATAAGATGTTAATATTAGGTTAGATTTAGGTTGCCAGCGTCTAAGGACAATATTTTTTGGACATCAAATAATGATGTGAAATGACGTTAATATTTGGTTGATTTTATATTGTGTTGGAAAGTAAACAAAATCTAACGTCAAGCCAACATCTTAGACCAACGTCATATTGAAGTCAAATACTGACATTTATTTGTCAGGTATGGCAACTAAAATCCAGCATCTGATAGACGTCATAGTGGTAACATCTACACAACGTCAAGCTGTAACATCATTAGACGTTGATGTTTTGTATTTTAGGTTGTGTTGGAAAGTGACTATAATGCAACGTCTGTTTGATGTTGGACATGGACATGGGCCTGACGTTGGGTTCTGACATCAACCCGATTTTCATTTCCAAACAAAATGCAACATCCCACGACGTTGGGGTACAACGTCAATATAATATTATGCTGACGTTTTGTGCCTGCTGGGAAGAACCTAAAATAAGAACCATTTTTTTAAAAAAAGAACCACAAAATGACATTGGGTGACAAAGTATATATATTTTTAATAGAACAAAATATTAAAAGTTGAAAGTACACAGACACGTAATATAGAAGCAAGTGTAAAACACAAGCTCCAACTCAAGCCTACTGTAAGTCGCCCAACAATAATTGAACATTAAATACTAGTTAAAATACCAATAGCAGCAAAGAACACGTGTTCTTGATTTAATACAAACCAACTTTAAATTTCAGCAATTATTTTGCAGAAATATCAGTATATTTGCCTTCTGCAAAGCCAGACTTGGTCCAGTCATGTACCGTAATTTAATGCGGCATTTGGGCCAAGCAAAGGCAAATTGTGTGGGCCAGAGATGGGCCAAAAATATTTTGCTATGTGGGAAGCATAAACAAAACATGGTATAGAAATGTGCAGCAGCTGAGCTGTTTGGAAGCATTTTCGAGAAAACTGTGCAATATTTGGAGAACAGTGATTCTGAAAGATGCATCACATAATTTGCGTTCTGATATTAGGGATAATAATAAAGTTTCATTTTAGAAACAGGGACCTAAAATCTGCGGTAACTTTGATATTACCGGTGAAAATTGTGTCGCTAAAGTAAATGTTAGCAAGCCCTGTTAACTGTGTTTTACAGTGAATATAGCTTAAGTTACACTCGCGTCAAGCTGCATAAACTGTTCTGAAATACAGTTATGCAGGGCAGGTACAGTATACATAGATAATATTAAACAACTAAACATTAGACCTTCGGTTCCCTTCTTTTTAGGGAAGCAGAAAGTTGCGTCTGAATTGCTCTCTTAGACATTTTGAAAACCGCATAAAACGATCCAATGAACTGTATTGTGCTAGGTGCCTTAAGACAATACTGAGTTCTGATCGGTCAATCGTCGTTGTTTGTAAGTCATAAATTAACATAAATAGAAAATTTGAATATATATAATTTGCATGATAAGTTTTACATTACACTCACTTTTGTTAATCGGTGGTTTTACAATGGGGATGCTTTTTGTCAATTCAAGCGCTGGTTATAAATTGACCTTAGAGTATTAGAAAATACATTCATGCGTTCATAACTCATAATTCATAACCATTTTCTCCCTCTTTTTGTCTGCCAGTACATGGGAGGTGGACAGAATGGAGTGAGTGGAGTATTTGTAAATCGCCTTCCACTAGAAAAATCACATGCAGAACCAGGGAGGGAACCCGAAGGAAATTACGGGACTGTGTTGGTACAGAACACGAAGGAAAACTCTGCGATGGAGAAATTGTTGAACATGGCAGCTGCTTTGACATTGATAAGTGTGATAGTAAGTGCCAAGAAAAAGCACTAATTTTCACAATCACTAAAATCACAAATTTTGTCTAATACATTTAAAAAAAACAAACAGTACAAACCATTTAAAAATTGTATATATATATATATATATATATATATATATATATATATATATATATATATATATATATACAATTAATAATAATGTGGAAACAAGCAAAAAATAACTAATTAAAAACATGATTATATAAGATTTAAAGGGCACCTCTGATGTAAATCAACTTTAGTAAGCTGTTTGGACAGAACTGTGTGTAGGTATAGTGTGTCCACACTAATATTGGAGTAATATAAACACAACAAGTCTCTTTTTTATTATATTTTATTTCCTGACGTTAAAATAGGGCCCAAATCCCAGTGATTTTGAGGCCCCAGCAACGTGAGGTAGGAGTGTGGTTTTCCCTGCCCACTGAATTGATTGACAGGCGCCATATTTCTATAATAACATGTATACTCATGTCCAAAGAAACAGATTAAAATATTTGTTCCAACTCTCTATGATTTTTCTCACAGTTTTATAAGTTTAAAATGTTTTTAAAACGGAGCATGTTTGTAATAAAAGAGTAAAATCACAAAATCTTAACTGCTATAATCACCACGGCTGCATAGTGTCAGTAAACGCTAAAATGTGTGTTTGTAGGTGTGTACTGTAAACGGCATTTGTGGGAGACTCATCATTTCAGAAAGGCTTGAATAAACTCCACCACAAATACATGAAGTACACTTACTTGGTATTTTTGACTAATGGGCTATATCAGCTTCATCTGTGTCTGTCTCTATTACTGACTGCTGTTTATCCACTGTGACGCATGAGAAGCAAACATGAATGGTGGGCAGGGAGAGCAGCCACAGGCTATAAAAACAGCTACACTGTACTCAGACAGCAAAATAAGCAGATTGTGGAGGCTATAATAAATGATCTGATAGGTATTTTGAGCTGAAACTTTACAGACACATTCTGGTGATACCAAAGGCTTGTCTTACATCTTGTAAAAGGGGTAAAATAGTTGTCCTTTTAGAGAAGATTTAAAATATTTGTTTATGGGTTGTATAAATGGGTAATTCTTCAACTACAGGCACTTTTATGTCCTTTTAACAAATATCCAAAAATATATTTAATTTGTTCAAATTTCACTTTCTTTATCAAACTAACAATAAAATGTACTTTAAAAAGATTTACTAGCTTTCTATTATGTATTTTTCATATTATTCAAACTCCTTTTAGGTGTTAAAATCACTGTTTTCACCTTGTTGCTCACCCAGAGTTTTAAACTTCAACAATGAAAATAACATTTTAAAATATTATTCATCTGGTATCTTTTAATGTGTCTTAATTATAAGTATCTTAGCTCCAGTGAAATATTTTATAGTTATTAATGTGAGACTATTATCAATATTATTTTTATACAAAATATAGCTGTCACACAGTATCTGTGTCATTTCCACCACAACACTGTAATGTCGCCTAAAATGTTTATGTCTATGAAAATGAACAGTGTCATCTAAGAACATGTTCAAGATGGAGGGAATTAAAATTTTTATCAACAACACTTGAAGAAAAATCAAGGTAAATATTGCTTGATAAGGAAACACATTTATTCTACGTCATTTCCAAACATGTTGTACCTTAAAAAATGTTTTAAAAACCAAACAAAATTAAGGTAAGATAAGAGTGTTGTGTACATGTAGGATCAATTCAAAGATAATCGGTGAAGCTATTTTTCATTTTTTCACAATAAACTGTTGAAATGTCATTTCCACCACTGTCATTTCCATCACCACACACAAAATTCTCATCACACATTAAAAGTGTATTCACAATGTGTAAGTTTATGTTTTTATTTAATATACAAATTCAGTTTATTTCATTCTAATAAGCTCTTAACCAAACTAATATTAAATTTCAGAGAGTGACAGGTGTAAAATTCAGCATACAACTAATTTATTTAATTGACAAATGTATAATTATTATATTTATATTGTGGAAAGATTGGTTAAACTAGATACAAAAATGATCTTAGACGATGTTTGACTTCATTTTGAAATCAAAGCTGTATAATGAGATGTGGTGGAATTGACATTAGTTCAGTTCACGATGAAAAAATGTTTCTCTTCTTAAGTTTGTCATTTTACAGATCTTAAACCTTGACAAAATGTTTTAACTAATGAGGCTGTTACGCTAATTTTGAACGATTTTTTTTACTCAACTTCACAAGGCTAAAAGTGCCTGTAGTTGAAGAATGGCCCAAATATTCAAATGTATTGCATGTGTCCACTGAAAATCATTAAGGTACAATCCCTTTTGTTAATTAAACACTATTAACATATTACTCTTTTGATGTAATGATGTTTGCATACTGTAGTACAGAATTAGGACAGAGCATCAGAATGTGCAATATTTCATAAATTGAATATTATTGCATTTCAAGCTAATTATTCAAATCGCTGAATGATGGTATTAGAAGATGATTGTTCCTAGTTTAAGATCGTAAACTCCACTTCCAAATTGATAACACTTTCTGTCTGTGTTCAGTGGAAGCTATCTTGTCCGAGTGGAGCGAGTGGAGTTACTGCAAACCTGACTGTGGGCAAGACTCCAAACAAACCAGAAGCAGAAAGTGTGTTCCTGACATTTCTGAATACCAGTAAGAGAGGAAAAACATCTTTACTCCCACTACATGCGTACTGTTGGTTGCCAAGTGTTTCATGATGTATTTACGTTTTATTTGGTGTTTCTGATCTGCCATAGATCCGATGACTACAGTCTTTTCTATGGGAAGCCTGTCATTAATTGTGAGAAAGTGAAGGATGAAACCGAAACAAGACCATGCAAAAATGTGCCTCAGTGCTAAGACAAGGTTGTAATATAATTCTGAAAGCACATGTGTTTTAGCTAATTGAAGGAAATTATTATTATTAATATTATAATCTTAACTATAATTATAATTTATATTAAAATTAAATAGATTTATTTAACTATAATTATAATTTCTAATCTTAAAATTTGTTAAGTTTTTCAGGATGACTAAGCACAGAAGATGGTGAGGATAAGAGGACCAGTTGGTGTAGATGGTAAACTCTTCTGCAGGAGGAAGAACCTTAAAGGGATAGTTCACCAAAGATGACAATTTATTCACTATTTACTCTTCTTCAAGTGGTTCCAAAATGTGTTTTAGAGTTTTTCTTCTGATGCACAAGAAAGATAATATTTTGAAGAAAGTTGAAAACGCATTCATTGTAGGAAAACAAATACCACGGAAGTTAAAGGTGCAGTAGGTGATCAGCCTAAATGCCATCTGTTAGCATATTATCTTCGAAAACATAATCCCTTCCCTGCCGTCCAAGGCCACGCCACCTAAATTTACAAGCGCACACATTACAGATGAGAGAGACCCACTAGATCATGTCATTCGCCAGTTAGAATACTTTATAGTACTTTACTATGGTAATACTACAATCCGAATAGAAAAACTGTTCTACATCTAGCATGTTTGTAATTGTGTAGCTAGCAAAACTTGTCATAATGTGCTATAGTTCATGCAGGCAAGTAGAGATATGCGCAGGACTGAATCTTTAGTCCCACTCCCACTAGGTTTTATTCCATACCTGACCGCTCCCGCTGTATGTTCAGCCTTTGTTCACCCTCTGCCCACCCTTTCCCGCCCCGTTTTCTACCCGACCAGAATGTTCCCACTAAACTTAGATCTGGTTCCCAAAATCTCATGTTACAATTGGGCACTACCAAAAGAGAGATAACAGATAAAAGTGTGGGCTGTCCAAGTATTGTTGGCTAAATGTCAGTTTTGTTTGCCCATTTGTGATGAGACTTGAGTGCCTTGAGGTTTGTTTCTGGTGGACTCTTTCAAGGTCAGATACACAAACATATCCACTCAATATATTTGCCAATTACAGATTGTGTTTCATATATCAAATCTGGATTATTTTCAACACGCATAGCAGGTATAATTGGGACAAGGAAGAATGTTAAATGTAGAGCGATTAAATAAGCTGGATGCTACAGAGTCCAGACAGCCTATTATAAGCAACACACAAGAGCCCGGTGGATGTGCTCGCTCTCTCTCTCTCGCGCTCACTTTCTCTTTCTCTGGGAATTCTATATTCTTAGATCGCCCGCTCTCGTTCAAATTAAACAAGAGTTATTGACCGAAGTTTCTAAGTTTCCGCGTCACAAGAAATCTAGTCTGGTCCCGTGGCTTCTGTGGTACAGCCGCAGGAATGCAGACCTCTACATGCAAAGATTGTTGCTCTCACTCTCTCACGCGCTTTGTCCTAAAGCGACTACTTAGAGGTTGACCAGCAGACTGCAGGAATTACACTTATTTCTAAGCCATACGTACATACTTTTTCAGACCGGACATTCAGAGTAGCATGCTGAACAATATAGGGAGTGCGTCACAGGTTGTCATTGTTCAAAAATGAACCAATGCGAATATAAAACCAACTTCACCTCAGTAAAGCAGGCTAATCTACATTATCGATGCTGTAAAAGGTCCCTTATGAAACTGAAAATAGACACATCAATCCTTTGCCGGAAGATTTCAGTGGCTGAAAAACACTTCTGTGCATTTATCCCATTTGTAAAACAACAAAATCAACACCAGCTTCGCTTGACTAAAAGAGTTTTAAAACATTACATTACCTGTCTAAAAGAAATACTTCAGCCATGGTGTCATCCTTCCTCCAGCGTGCAAAAGTAACTCCAATATTGATTCAGCATTTGTTTGTACCGCTCTCTTTCTTGTGTGCAGGTGAACAGCCAAAGGCAGATCTGCATGCAGGGTTGGATTCAGTGTTGCCAACTATTTCTAATGAAAATAGCTAAAGCATGCCCGAAAAGTAGCTAAATGTTGCAATATGACGTCATAAACTGATCTGCATATCAGTAACATCATTATGTAGTACCTGACAAGCGTTAGCCCGTCATGTTTCCACTCTATGAGGCGCTGTGTATTATATTATATTAAAACATTACATCCAAGCACAATAAATAGGTTCTTGTTAACATTTTACTTTGCGTGATGACATCATTGTGTAATCGCAACTCAAAACTACATCTTTATGTAGTATACAATATAATGAATGTTTTGTGAAAATAGAGTTGACTATTTGTAAAAGTAATACAAACACTTTTTATAAGAATGTTTCTATTTTCAAGTATAACACTGATAATGAACAGTTACATTCAGTTAAACAGTTACAGCTTGTGTACTTACTCTTTTAACTTTTGAAAATTAACTCATTTGGAAAAGTGACAACAGTTATTGCACTATTGGAATGTTTTGCTACCTAAATTACCAACAATTATACATGTTAACAAATCTCAGTAAATTAACAGTTATAAAAAACAATCTGTGCTAGCGATTTACTCTACTGAGTGAAGCCTGCAGCCACTGCTCTGTTGAGTCACTTTTTAAAAATTGCTTAAGTAGCCAAATTAATGTTAAACATTGCTTAATTTGTAACTAGGTGCACTTTGAAAAAAAGTTGCTAGCAATTTTGTTGCTAAATCTAGCAACAAAATTGCTAAAGTGGAAACACTGGCTGGATTAACATAAGGGCTAGGTGGAGCTGAAGCCGCAGGGCCCACGGGAGAAGTGGGCCCGTGATTGGCTGATGAATTCATTTACGTTATGACGTGGGAAACGCCTCTTTGAGTTATGCTTTCTCTCTTCGATAAGTATTCCTTTCGGTTCGCTGCTGATCTAAAACATCGACGCAGGTGCTAAACCGGGGCACAGAGTGACTGTAACCCAATCTGAATATTGAATTGCCCTGTTTTAGTCACCCATAAGGATGATCAGATGTGCCAATTTTCCCAGGACAGTCCCTTATTTCGCCACTACTGCGAAAACCGTCCAGTCAAAGGTAGGCTAACCAAGCTCGTCGTAGAACAAAACTCTGAATTGAAATAGTTTTCATCAATGATTGACTTGTACATGTAGTAACAGAAGCTGGGATAGGCGGAATTATACTAAAAGAACTTTCATCAGACAATATATCCGATGCAAAAAAAATAAATCTAATAAAAATGCTAGCCCCCTGCTGGCCCGTGCGCTACGACACTGTCATTACTTTGTATTGGCTACTTGCAGGCCTGTTTTAATAAAATAGAAAAAATATGCAATAATCAAATACAAATCACCTTGTATCTGGTATAGCCCTAGGCCCCAATGTGTTCTTCATCTCGCCCTGACTGCATGAACAGCTGCGCTGTTGTGTGCAAATCAACATTCGTTTAGACAGTTTGGGCTATTATCAGATTTATGGGAATTACAAAGTTAATTTGAATGAACATTTTTTAGTCTTATGCCTTACCCAGATTATAAAAAATACATATAACTACGTTTAGACTATTTTAATATATTCATAACTATTGGAATGTGAAGAGACCAGGACAACAGTGTTGTGTTTCTGAAGACAATCGCCTACTGCATATTTAATGGTTACTGTGTTTTTAGTTCAAATGTTATCTTGTTTTGTGTTCAACTGTGATGATCGTTTTTGGTGAACTCGCCCTTTAACATGCCCGTCTGTAGAAGTATACTATCATCAGAATACTTGCTTTGTTAGATTTATATAGATTGAATTTGTTGCTGATTAAAGCACTATGTTGTGAACTCTGCTTTGCTGCCATAATAAAGCATTAATGCAATATGTTGTAGTTCGTGTAACAAATTGCAGTTTTCTGAAGTTACATTTATAAACCTGGTTAGTCAGGTAAAAAAAAATGAATCGAGCCAGCCAGGAGTCGAACCTAGAATCTTCTGATCCGTAGTCAGACGCGTTATCCATTGCGCCACTGGCCCGACGAGTATACATGGAACCACGTGACTCTAAATAGAATGGATACTAAACTCAGTCGTGTTCCGCTCTCTGGCGGTCGCATTTGTTTGGTAACAAAAAATATTGCTACAGTACCTCATTCCGACCTGCCCACAGAGTGATTTAAATCAATAACATTCTACCAATCAAGTCACAAAAAAGATCCTACATGAAGTAGCCGCGGCTGTAACTTACCCGTTCTAGACTTCCACCTTTTCGTCCGTGTACGAATGAGGCGGCTCATTTTTGAGAGCAGGATGATTAAATAGGGGCAAGTTGGAGGTAAAATGTGTAGAATGTTAGTCAAGAGATCCCTGAATATTTCCGAAAGTTGATAGTTGACAATTCTTCGGCGAGGTTTGGTAACTACAGATTCGACCGCTAGAGGGCGGTGCAGCATTTGAAATTAGCTCTACGGAAGTCTTGACCGTTTAATCACTAAACATTTAAAGCAATCGAAAAGGCTAAGTGTTTGAACGACAAGCCATACATTTTGCAGAATTACGCCAAATTATATAAAGAATCTGATGTCACCGTGGTCGCTACGTATGGATACGAGAAAGCATTTCTACGAGTGTACATTACCAGCCGAAATAGCTCAGTTGGGAGAGCGTTAGACTGAAGATCTAAAGGTCCCTGGTTCGATCCCGGGTTTCGGCATTTTGTTACTGTCAAGGAACACACAATACAAGGTCTGAGTAAACAGAGTATATGTGTCTGTATAAAATACAGAGGTAACTGTATTTGTCAGTTGTCTTTTTGTTAAAGGCCAAAATTAATTGTGAATACACGTGTTCCCTACCCCTGATGTTTTAAAAAGCGCATACGTCATATGTATACGTATTTTTAAGCCCCGCCCTCGATTACACGTATAACCGTTTCCGTAGTGTAGTGGTTATCACGTTCGCCTCACACGCGAAAGGTCCCCGGTTCGAAACCGGGCGGAAACAATTAGTATTTTATTTGTTTATAATTTTTTAAATAATTATTACTCTCTTTAGGATAAATCCATTCCAGTTTTACTACATGAATATTGTAGTCATTCTATTATATGCTCAAATGGCTTTTTGCAGTAAAAGTAGTGCCACCATAACTAACCAAACATTTTTTAACATACATAATCAAGGCAGTATGAGACGTTCCACAGAACAAAAAGACTAATGTGATCACCTTAAATCAATGCGTTTTGGGGCTTTGTAATGTTTAACATTTTCATTCATTTGTTTAATTTTTTTCGGCTCAGTCTCTTTATTAATTTGCCACAGTGAAGTAAACTGCCAACTTATTCAGCATAAATTCAAAGCGGATACCCTTTCAGCTGCAACCCATCACTGGGAAACATCCACACAAACTCATACACATACACCACAGTCAATTTAGCTTACCCAATTCACATATACCACATGTCTGGAAACCGAAGCACCCGGAGGAAACAAGTGCCAACACGGGGAGAACACCACACCAAAATGCCAACTGACCCAGCCGAGACTCGAACCAGCGACCTTCTTGCTGTGAGGCGATTGTGCATGTTTAACAGTTTTTATTTATTTATTTATAAAATAATTATCATTGATCAATGAATATTCAGTGAATTTATTATACAAATAGGAGTATTGCAAGCATTCAGTCTAGCAAGTCTCTCCGTAGGGTATGAGCAAAATACTATCATACAGAACCAAATTAAAATCAACATACATATCCTATACACATTGCAGAACAGGAATCATAACTGTTCCTCTTTCCAGGAAAGGCCTTTTTTCAGTCCATTTGCAGGTTTATAATTGTAGCACTTAGAAAAGGGAGAATAAAAGAACACTTGGTATTAAGACAAACAGAAAGAGTCTACAAGATCTCCAATGAAAAGCATTCTGCTAAAGGCATTAAACACTTTTGTAATACTTATGTTTTTTGTTTATAACAGCTGGGATCCTTGATTGTTGCCTTTTGAAGACAAAATTATGGCAACAAAGATGGATGAAGGCAATTAAATTATATTTACACAAAAATGGCTAATTTACTGAAATGAGGCATATCCGCAACAATGGTCAGGATGAGAAACACCCAATTACCAGCCATTCTCCATTTGGATAGGAGTTTCACAACTTGGGCCAAATAGATGTTACACACTGTAAAGGAGGAGAGTTCTACTAGTATTTCAGAGATCAAATTACGATTAGGGTTGAATGTTACCTTTTCTACAACTGAAGGTTTCACATTAATGGGATACTGGATAATGCATCAGCACCTTCATGTCTTGTCAAACGTCATGAACAAATGAAAAGTCAAGGCTTAGGGTTTGTGTAAAGCACAACTGACATTGCATACCATATGCTGATATGCATACTGTTGCTGCTGGCAATGTCAAATAAACTTAGAAATAAATTTCCCAGGGTTTCATCTCAAAAGCTTAAGTAAACATTCTCCTCTCTACAACAAGTCACGATAACCTCTGAAGAAGTCGAAGAGACCCTTTTCATCTATAGTAAATATTGCACACAACGAAAAAAAAAAACAATCTTGTTGCTTTGTCTCTGGAAAGTGAAGCTACTATAACAGGTTTTACGTGTCCACAATGTGCCTTTTGAAAGTGTTATTTACATAATGAAATGAGACACTAACTGGCCTGCCCTTTTAAAGGATAATAAAGTGCAATTAAAAATAATACAGTACAATAAAAGGGCTTGACTTGAAAAATTGGAAAGGGATAAAGACAAAATGAGAAAGTAAGCTAAGTCACTAAGCTTTGGTTGTTAAAGCAAATCAGGTTCAATAAAGCATGTGTAAAGCACAAAGGTATCCTGTGACTCGGCAAGGTGATTCTGGGTTTCTGGAGAAGAGCTACTACAGATCAGAATCAGGAAGCAGAGGGCGAGAGGGCAATGGGAGTTGTTGGAGAGGGAATGGTATTTGCCAGATTATAAGTTGAGTTTGGGAAGGCACCCTGAGAGGGCTGTACATTGAGGAAAGGGGGCCTAGTGCTGGGAGTTTGGGGGGATGTCGCTGCTGTGGTTGGGGAGTCCAAGCTGACTTCGTCCCCTTCCTCCGAGTCCCATACCTCACTCTGAAGGTAGTCTGCAAAGAGGGCTTTGGCTCGCTGCAGAATGCGCCCAAGGTTGTGGCGACGGACCAGTCGGTCAAAGTGCATGGCCAGCTCATTGTAATCCAGGCTGTTTTTAATAATGTGGTCACGGTGTTCTAGAAGGATAGAGAGGCAAAGGAAAAGCATAAATGGATTCCCTTTCCCAAATTCTTGGGGAGGGGGGAGCGAGCAGGGCTTAATTCCACCTCCTTCTGGCTTGTTTGTGTTTGGAGAACTTACGCCAGACCCAGTAGGTCTGCAGGGTGAGGGGAGATTACTGGAGAATGCCTTGGGCAAAGACGGGGACTTACCGAAGGATAAAACAGGTGATGAGAGAAGAGAATGATTGTAACCTTGTGATGGAGATGCCAGTAATGATTTCCCTGGAACCACTGATGGGGACTGAGCCCCAGTTCCATTTAATACAGGTTGCGAGGATGCAAACCCCCCAGAAGGTTTATCAGGAGACAAGGCTTTTTCTCCACTAGAAGAAGAGGATGTGCATTTTGACAAGGCATCAGGAGATGCTGTTCTCCAACTGGATGCAGAATTAGATGACTGATTGGAGCTACTTTTCCAGTTTGGTAGACCGGAAGGAAGAGTTGACAGTGGGGAAGCTGCCTGACCATTAGGTGAGTCTCTCTGTCCAGGAGATGATGGTGTAAGATTATTGATAAGAGGTTCCTGCTCTCCTGGGTCGTCCTCACTCTCCTCTGTTGACTGGCGGACCGAGAATGGCAGCGTGGAGTGTGCTGACTGAAACTGCACTGGAGATAATGTGGGATCAGATGAGTCATTTTCATTCACCTCAAAGCTGTCCTCAGTACGGCCATTATAGTATTTGAATTCTCCAAAACTCCCCTGCTTCTCAAATGAAGGAGGCTGAGCAGGGATGTCATTCCTGACCATGCTTTCAACATCATACTCTCCTTCGCCTTCCTTCCGAGGACCTCTCTCCTCCTCCATGACCAGGTTACGTTCACCATCTGCCTCTTCTCGAGATGGCCTTAGCATATGACGTCTCCTCTGCCTTTCGGTCTGCTTCTCTTCCATCTCCTCCATGTCCACATTGTGTGAGCCATCAGACTGATCTGCCTCAAACGCTGGCCCTAGAAGCTCTACCTCTGTCTCAGGGGGATCGGGTGGCAAGGAGCTCCAGGTGACCTCCAGCATTCGAAGGGCATCATCAAAAGCAAATTCACGCTTAAGCTCCAAAAGAAGCCAGCGGTAACAGAAAAACAGATCATCAGCACCTTTCGAGACTAGGTAGGAATAAAACTCTGGGTCTGAATACTGCAGAAGCAGCTTGAGATGTTGGAACTTAATGGACATAAGTTGTCCGTCAGGGCGGAAGTTGCCTTCAAGTCGTTTCATAATGCCACAGAAGCAGATAAAGGCATGAGCTTCATTGTCCATGACGGCAAGGATTGGCGAGGCAATGTCGCTCATGCCTTGACAATAAGACACCTAAGAAAGTAAACAAGGACAGTTTGTTTTTCACAGAGGTATAGACAAATCCTTGTGTGATCAAAGGGTGTAACTGCATGTTTACCTGTGGGTGTGTAATAGCAAAAGTGGTGAGAAGGTCTGTCAAGGCGGTTAGATGTGGGCTGTCCTCTGAGCCCGCGTAGTAGGGATGTGCTCGATCTGTTCGAAGAACATCTTTCAGAACATTTCCCCGAATAAACTCCAATTCCTCTGAACTGACTCGTGCTGTCCATTCACTCTTCAGCTGGTCGTACTCTCTCGTTTTCCGCTTC